AACAAGTCACGGGTCCGCCGAACCGACCGGGTTGATACTCGCATAAACCCATGGAATACTCCAGCGAAACCGAGCTTGAATTCTTTTGTGCGTTGTCAAGTCGGGATAACCCACAGACAGTGGAAAGACACAGGGTTTCAAGCTCCATGAGAAAGGGGGAAAAAAAAACACCGAGCAGAATGTCTACACCGAGCAGAATGTCTACACCGAGCAGAATGTCTACACCGAGCAGAATGTCTACACCGGCGAACTATACTGCAATTACAATGGACATGAGCGGGTCCGGGAAAGCGCCCCCCTGGATCATCGATGTTGTGCTTCATCTCACCAGCGATACCGCCGTCCGTGATGCGGCGGCATGACTTCTCAGAACTCCGGCGTTTTCTCGGAGACGCGACTGTCACCGAGCCAAACGAACACACCACCAAGATTGCGCATGGACAGATGGAGAAAAAAAAATACATAAAGTGCAGCAGATACAGCGGCGTTCCCAATATGTTTGAGGCCGGTGTGACCGGGTGCTCTGGTCGGACCACTAAGCCGACCGTGATACGCAGCGTACAGCAAGCAAGTCAGGAACGGTTCAAGAGCCGGTATGGTTGTGTGTAGGCAAGCCCTATCATCGCGATGCCTTATCTGAGACGAAACTTGCATTGGGCGGTTTATGGTTTGCAGCGTGCGAAGTTAAGTTGGGCACGCAGGCACTCATGACAATCAACAGGCTTTCACAACGCGTGATTGGCTATCGACTCCCGGCGTTCCCTTCTGCTCACCCACAAACATCCGATGAAGCCACACAACAAAACATGTGGGTTGGAATCGAAGGAACTCTTCCTGGGTGAAGAGATCTGCCAAATGGCTTGGCATTGTGATCCTCTGCCCCCCAAAAGTCTGTGCTTGGGTTAAGCATTAGACTAACAAACTAACGACAGGGTGGAGGCTACTGAAAGCAACAATCGCACTGGGTCTGTGAGAAGTCTGCGGGTCGATTAGGTTGTTGCATTCATGTAATTGGCGAGGAGGCTTATATGAGATGTAGACTGTGCTGTACTGCGTGTTGTCAGAGCCGAAGCTAAGAATCTCCGCCGAGAAGCGGGAACCTGCTCGCAGATGTAGCGTCATGTATCCCTCGGGAGTGACGTGACATGCAGTGAAATTGAGACCGACTCCACGATGTGGGATCTGGCGGTTCTAGACTGACTCTGACATTGTCCAAATATAGCAGCACGGTGGTTATTTTGACTACACGGAACAGATCAAGGCCCGGGGCTCGGGAATGTTGAAGAATGGAACCTGTGAGATTGCCGATGGCCGCGAACGGAGCGGAGACGATTTTGGATCCGGTGCACGGAGCCAAAGTCAGGGAAGAGCGGGATGTCCGCAGGGATGGGCAGCTTTCGTGACCTGACTGGCTCCGAGGAAGCCATCCCTGTTTCTGAGACGGCAAGGAACGGGGGTGCAGGGCGGCTTAGGGTTGAACTGGCTGAGGCGGTCAGTCGAGGTCAGATGAGCCCATGGCCGGAGTGGATTGTGGGCGTGGAGTCAGCGGCTTTGCAAGGCGGCTTGTGCACGTCGCAAAGCGCCTTCACCTATTGAATGGCCATGTTTGCGACAGGGGAGTTTGGAGGCGCGCCGGTGATGGCCTGTCCGTCGTTGGGGTCGGTCATGTCGGGGTCGGTCATGTCGGGGTTAGCGAGAAGGTGCCACGACTGATGCCATAAGCCAAGTTTTGCCGTTGAAGCGTGTGATGGGACTGACTCGGGTTGCCCTTGCCTGGCGGGCCAATTTGCCTTGTTTTGACTCCCTCCTCGGTCTTTGACGAGAGCGACGCCGTGAAACTTGGGAGGCGCGGCTTTGGATGGGATGGGAAGAGGTGATGCACCGGAACTCGAGGGTTGTAATCGAGCTCGACGATCGCGTATTCCAGGTTCTTCTAGCTGGATAGGGCTCAACCCCTGTGAGGGTTGCAGTAATTGGTTGATTCTGGATTGGTGTAGTTTACTCCGGCCATTCGAGTCGGGATGAGAAAGCTGTCTTATCCAGCTGAAGGCACAAAGGGACTTTGGACTGGAAAGTACCTACCTAGGTACTTTAGGGGTCCAGGTACCGAGCACACTGCATTGAAGTGGGAGGACGGGAGTGTGGGGCTATCGTCGAGTCCGCGATGCTTCAACCCCCCGTCCGTGACCACAGCTTGCTTATCTAGGTAGGTAGGTAGGTAGGTAGGTAGGTAGGTACGCTGGAAAGTCAATCAAAGGAGCCGCCAGTCCAGCTAGGTAGGTACCATAGTACGTGCGTTTAGGTACCATCTTGAAGTACTAACTCAAGGTACCTCGATAGGTAGGTAGGTAGCAGGATGGATGGCCCCAGCCCAAGAGACGAGGCGGCGTAGCCGCTGAGGTAGGCACCATCCAGCTAATTAGTGCGGCCCAGTAATATCGAGAGGAAGAGAGATCTAATCCTTCGCAGAATGGAAGGTGCTGGCCGCTTGTTCTTTGCTGAACGAGGTGGGTGGGTGCCATTTTTATTTTTGTCAGCTAAAACATTCCCCCTTTTGCCCCAATCCTCCCTCATCCCAGTCCCCTTTCCAACGCGTGCCACACTCTCTCGCTCTCTCTCTCCACAGCCGTAAACACGAGTTCCCGATCCTCAGTCAATAAAGTACCTCCAAGTCTTGGGTAGGAGTACTTCCCGCTCCACCCAACCAACCTACAGGCCCCACCCACGATTCAATATCCACTCCCTCTGCCTGGATTCCCCGTCGCAATTCATCAACACCCACACAAGACGTTCCTTCCACCATCTCTTGCCGCTGGCTGCCGACTTCTCCCCAGCCTCGTTCTCATATTTCACGACTTCTCCCCTCCGACAACCCCCCTCACTCCTCTTCGAAGCATTCCTACACCACACAAACACGACCACGGTTAAGATCGAAAGAAAAGAAAAAGGGGGGGAAAGTGCAGACCGCCCTACCTTTCAAAGTCACCACTTCGGACGATACAGCGGCACGTCGGCCCCTAGCTCCTTCCCGAACCCCCTCTTCTCTTGAGCCTGACGCTTCACCGAAAGACCGATTGCAAAGGCATTCCACCCACCACTCTCTATCGACCCGGAAACGGCATTTCCTCATCTGCGCGGCTGACCTTGCGACTTCTTACAACCTGCACATCACAGACAGGAACTCAACGGACTAGCGGGCCCGTTGCAAAGGCTGTGCCACCAACAATCTACGTCTTTGTCGCAGGCAGCTACGAATCCCCACCCTCCCTGTGCACGACTTGCGCGTAGAGTCTAGCAACAGTCCCAAGAGCCTCTCTCTCCACGAGCCCTCAAATCTGACCGCGGTCTCGAAAATGAAGGGCCGTCCCATCGATCAGCTCGTTTACGAGCACATGTTCCCCAAGCCTCGCGCCAGCGACCCCCAGAATTTCCACGCCCTTTTGCAACGCAGCCTCATCCTGGAGGTCCGTCAAGAGGTCCACTCCTTCTATGGCCACCTCGACACACAAGAAGCCAAATATCCGGGATTGGATTATTGCAATCCTATTCATCGCATTCGCCTGAGCCGCTGGACTTGGCACCGTCGCCTTTTCCGAGCGTTTGACAACCTTCGTCTTACACCCAACGAGATTGCGGGCTTGACCAAATGGGAGGGCACGAAATGGGCCAAGGAGCGCTATGAGAAGGAGCAGGGCATCACCATCAGGGATACGGCGAACGACGGATTCCCGGACTGGGTTGAGCCCGAAGACCGCCCTATCCCCCCGGTCCGGAGCGCTCGATCACGATCTGTCGAGACGGACGACGCGACGGCATCTGGAGATGAAGACATGGACGGCGAAGAGAGCGAAGAGGAGCTAGAGAGCGTTGGAGTGGCCTTGAACCAGCGGCTGAGAGAAAGGGCAGCCCGGCGAGAGGCAGGAGATATGTCAACGGTTCTGGATGAGGAATGGGAGCAGTGGCTGAAGAACGTCATCGAGAGCGGTGAGCTGCCGTACATCTCGAACGGGATTCCGACATCAACAACCGACGCTGCAGATGCGGTTATACCGCAGGCCCTATTTCCTCCTCGCATGCTGATGGCTGCCCGCGCCGGCCAGTGGCAAGATATCCCCGATTTTCTCCATGACATCATTCGCCGTACTCTCGAAACCAGCTCCGGCCTGGAAGACGCCATCATGCCACCGGCTCGCCTGCCCACCCTTGCCAGTTCCAGTGCAGCACGAGAGCGAAGAGGCACCGACGAGCACCACATTGGCGGTGTCACAAACTGGCGGCGTACGTATTCGGATCTGCGCCTCCCTGTTGGCGATAGCGCGACTAGCCCGGCTTTGCAACGGACGGCACAAGCCCCTGGCGCCTAGGAGGTTCGGGCGCCTGAAGTCTCCTCTATCGTTGATCAATTTCTCCCGAATCCGCATGAGACGGAGGCTATGGCACTGAGCAGCATACTCGGTCCCAACGACATGATCTTCACCTACCCCCCCAGGTCTCTTCCTTGAAAATAACCGGGACAACAAATCATCGGTTTTCTGATGCACAGGCGACCACGGATGAGGCTTGTTCTAGCGCTCAACGTATGTGCTGACGTTACGTTTCCTCGGATTCGGGTTGATTTCTAAACTAGAATTCTTTTTTTTCTTGAGTCCGCTGGGTACGAGGAGGATCGCTCCTGAAATGCGTTGAACCTCTCACGCGTCGTCATCCCATTATTCCCCCACACACAAGGCGTCAGACGGGTTGTTTTTTTCTCATGTTTTTATTCCTTGGTAGGACTTGCAGGGACTGGATTAGCGAGCACAAGGGGTTACGAGGAAACGAGAACTCTACATTTCAGGGCTTGCATTCAATCAGCCCACCTATATCTAGTGGATAACCCTTCGTCATAAAAGTTCCAATTATGTATGCTTTACTATTTTGTCCAAGAGTATGTGGCTTGCATACACCTCTAACAGACTGATTAGTTCACACAAGTTCCAATATTTCAAAGTGGTGGAGCAATGTGCAAATTGTGAAGCATTTGTTAAAATTCTCAGCCGTTGGAGTATCATGCTAATAACAAGGAGCACGCCAATTCTCCTAAACGCCACGATGGGTCTTTGCTACCTGCGCACTCTTGTTCACCTTCCATAGCACCACCAAACAAACCCCAAAGGGAAATAGTCGCCAACCAACGCCAATCCCCACAAGCTTCGAAACCTATCCGACCCCGAATTTTCGTCAAAAGACTATGTGACCAAATAAGCCTACGACACCTCGCGCACTCTAGACGACCGCCGCCGTGGACCTCCCTTCGTGCTCTCCTTTTGTAATGCTTTCTTCGGCCCGCCCTCCTTGCCTTTCCTCTTGCCCTTCTACGGCTCGAGGTGAGACCACTCGGGGATGGCCTTGATCTGCTGCCACATGTACTTCTCCAGCTTGTTGGCGCTCTTCGCGTACGGTGTGGACTCGTTGTTGTACTTGCGACAGTTATCAAAGATGAGCTTGGCGTCGCGGATAAAGTCCTCGGGCGTGGCGTACTGATCCGCCTCGAGCTTGGTCTCCATAGTACTGAGATCCATGGGCTCCTTGATGACCTCGTAGTAATCGGCGACGTCGTCTTTATTGACAGGTACGAGAAAGGGCCACGCCGATTGGTGGTTCTGCAGGTCGTTGAGGAGATGGAGAAGTTGGTTGTAGTTGGGGCCGTGGCGAGGCTGCCGCGCGAGTTCGTCCATGTCCGGGGACCAACCGGATGCGCGGATGGCATCGATGCTGAGCGGGTCGATGGGCTTCGCTCCGGACTTCCACTCCTTCGGAGGGCTGTGTACAATGTGCGATTTGGAATACGCGCGAATCTTGGCCTGCACGCACTCCTTTTGCTTGAGCAGCATGCGGCCCATTTCGAGATACCGAATCCGCGGTAGCATTGAACATTGCATAATTGTACCGCCCTCGTAGTCCTTGATGTAACCCATCCACACGCTCTTATCAAGTGTGATTTCCTTGGTGAATCCTTGCTTCTTGAAGTATCCGATGGCGTAGTTGTCGGCGTAGGTGAGGAAGTGCATCACGTCGCTCGTGGCCTTGACGTAGTCCTTGAGATGGGACATGAGATGCGCGCCATAACCCTTGACCTGCTGGTCGGAGCTGATGGCACAGAAGACGATTTCGGCAAACTGGCGGCCCTTGAACGGGCGGTACGTGATGCCGCCGACGACTTCGAGGGGCTTCTTAACGATGGCGATTGATAAGTGGGTCCGATCGTAGACGAGACGCGCGATGTAGTCTTTCGGCATCTTGGGGAGCTGCTTCTGGAAGATGCATTTAAGGCCGGTGAGAATGATGAGGGACTCGCGCTCGTTGTCGTTGTTGACCACTCGGAACTCGATCTCGCCGGTTCGTTCTTCGATGACGGCAGGCTACCCGGATCGCGGTCAGCTTGCAGGGGCCATGTGGAGGACAGAGGGGTTACGGTTTATTGCGCGCGGTCTCTCAACAGAACTGCTAATGCGCAGACAAACTCACCTTCTCGGGGAAAGGGATAGGCTTCATTGCTGGCTTCTTCTCTGGCTCGGCCGACTCATTGTGCTTGACCCGTTTTGTCGCGGTCGGCGAGGATGGCTCGTCCTCAGCCTTGCGCTTCGCAGCTGCTACATCGCATTAGGTTTAAATTTGATTCATCTGGACAATCGGTACCATGCGACTCACTCTCTTCCTTCATATTGCTCTTGATAGCGAGCCCTTGCAGGCCTGTTTTCAAGTCGATGGATGTTGTCGTGGTCTCGGGAGGGAAGTTGATGACATGCCGCGCTAGGCTCTGGCGTTTCTCCGTTGCCGGATGGCGCCAAGTGGGGCGGTGGGCAAGGGGAAAGCGGGATGGCGCTAGTCCGTCTTTGGCTCAGGCCACAGTTCCTGGTGGGCCCTTTGGAGCTCAGAACACGTTTGGGGAAGCTACAGTCTGGCGACCTTACACTTCGCGATCTTCCAAAGCAACCGCCCGCTAGCACCTACCGGAAACAATTGAGAATCTCACGATTCTGCACGCACACTTTCAACGGCTCTGTTCATTGATACGCAACCGAGACAAACGTCCTCCCCAAACGTCAAAGAACCAATCGCCTCCACTCAATTAGCAGATGGACTCCAAGTTGCTTGAGGTCTGGCAAGCTGCTGCTAGCACGCCGTTCAACCCTGCTGTCGGCAAGGACACTCAGTTTTTTGTCGCATTCCTTCTCCTTCTCATCGGCGTTGGAACTACCGGTGTATTCGCTCTGAGTAAGCTTGGATCAGTAATTCTTCCAGCAAGGCCCTTCGTCTAACCCTCAAAACAGACCGGTCTATTACCAACATTCTGGTGCTAGGTGTACCTGCCTCTGCCGCAATTGCGTAAGTCAACCCACTCCCCCCTCTTTACAGAAACCATTTTCTGATGAAGGATACAGATTCGGCACGGTTTATATGTTCTGCGCGGTCGGAGTCTACGTCTAAAGATACCCCAAGAAGTTTTTCAAGTCGGCGGCGACCTTGTACTTTAGAAGCAGCCAAGAAACCCATCAATATCACCTTTCTTGCAGTCTCGGGTGACCATTTCCAAGTACAGAACTGCCGCGTCACTATAAGTCATGTCAGGTCCCCTTCCACAGTCCGGAACGGTACCACAGCCGCTGTTCCGTGCCGTGGCCAACTCGACAAGACCGCTGTACCAGCTGCTGAGAACTATCAGCTTTTCCAACAAGGTCCATGTACAACTACAAGAAGATGGAATCAGGTTCGCAGCTGACCTGTCCAGAGTCATGCAAGGTACGTAAGGTTTTGGCCGGTCAGAGTCGGCAGGCTAATTGACAGTCAACCAGGTACTGCCTTCCTCGACAAGAAGCTCTTCACCTCGTACGCTTTGAACATCGGCCAAGACGACGATGTTCTTCCAAACTTTCAGATCACTCTCCCAGCTCTCCTCGAAACGCTCCAGATCTTCGGTGCAGTCGACGTTGCCACACGCACACAAAAGGCCGAGCATGACCCATACCGTAGCAACCTCCGCAACTACCGACCAGATGCGTTTAGTAACCAGACTCTGGGAATCGGAGGAACTTGCAGTCTTGTGTATATCGAGGAGGGTGGGCAGTTCAACATTGTGATTGAGGAAGGTGGGGTCAAAACCACTGCCAGCCTTACGACCTATCTGCCGGAAATCCCAGAGGAGATACCTTTTGACAGAGAAAATCTGTCTTTCAAAATCATCATGCAAGCGCGCTACCTTCTCGACGCCCTAGCGGAACTTGCCCCCATTGGCCCCAATCGTCTTACCATCACGGCCTCGAAAACACAGCCCTATCTAACTCTTTCCGGTGCTGGTGACCTCGGCTCGTCTAGTGTGGACTTTGCTAAAGGCCGCGAGCTGCTGGAGACCTTCTCGATCCAGGATCGGTGGACACAGACTTACAAGTTCGACCTGATCAAGTCTTCGAGCGAGGCGATGCGGATCGCTAGCAAAATTAGTTTCCGGGGCGACGCCCAGGGCGTTTTAAGCTTGCAGTTCATGGTGGAAGTGGAAGGCGGCGGAGTCAGCTTCTTGGACTTTCGGTTCGTGCCTTACATCAAGCACGAGGATGACGAGGACGAGCAGGACCAGGATGAGTATGAGTGAACAATGCCAAATGGTTCGAGAACCCATCTGGTACGTAGGAGAGCCTTTTCGAAACAATGATTCCTAATATCCCCTATCGATAGCGAGAAAGCTTTCCTGGCTCGACCCAGACCACACCCTGGTATGCCTTCCGCATGCGCCAAAAATTGACAATAAACGTACTGCATCCCCGAGGTTAGTGTGAACAATGTGTGCCACTAGCCTCTTTCGTGAAGGACTCCGGCGTGGGGCATGTACAGCGCCCTGAAGCGCCTCCCTTGGAATGACAGCTTGGCTGGCAACCTAGCCCGAGCTGGTAATACGTACGATAGGGTCAGCTGCGCGATCTTTTACAGTCCGGAGAAGGCAAGAGGCAGCCATCGGCGCAACGAGGCGTGGGGAACGACGCGACTGGCATCTAAGTGATGGCCTATTCCTCAAGCGACAGCCCAACGCCATCGGGCCAAGCCTCCGAGAGGGCTGGCTGGACCGGGCACTTCCCGGCTGGACGGGGCCGGGGCTTATCCGGAGAATCTTGAGAGGGAGGGCCCATTAGGAAGCTAACTTGGTTGCAAACGGCAAAGGCGTTGACGAGGCGCTAGGATGGGCTTGTTGATGTCTCGGTTGCGAAGAGAGAATGTGAGGAGATTGCGGGGCCACATCGGTTGGAATCTTTGTCGTCCCAGTTCCTGCCAGGCTCAGTTGACAGCCCCCCCCCCCCCTCGGGCCTGTCTACCCTCTTCCGTCGAGGGTACAAATGAGATCTGTTTCCGGAATCCCACGTCCTCTTGCGGACGTACCATAATGAACCGGTCCTAAACCAGGCTTTTCTATCTTTAAGCAGTGGGCTTCATAGCTCGAACTCTCTTTGAACGCTTGTGCTGCTTCCACCTTGATTCAACGCCTCCCAGAATCCCAACAACTCGGTCCGGTTCTGTGTCCATGGGCACGTGTTTACGATCTCGCGTGGTTTACTTTCTCTCTCTGTCTTGGACCTTCGAGGGTCTCTATCGTTTTACTCTGCTCGGCTGTCTTTAAAGACTCGTGGGTCGTCGCCTCCAGTTTCCGTTCCCAGCAACACAACGCTCTCGCAACACAAAGCACAACACAGCAAACAACACAACATAGCAAACAACAGTCTTTGAATTTTCTATATCACTTGATAAACACCTCTAGATCTCTCACGGAATCCTTTTAAACCCCCTTAACAATGTTCTCCTCCAAGAAGCGCGTCGGCTCGTGGGTTGGTACCCTCAACCCCCGCCGCTCCTCTACCACTTCTACGGCTTCCTCCTCCTCCCCATCCCCATCACCACGAAGCCCCACCTTCTCGATATTCTCGCGGTCGGGTACAAACAGCCGTAAAGGTTCGATGGCCTCCATGACTACGATGGGCAACATGGAGGAGAACGAGCACCTTATGGCTGGGCAACCGAAGAGGGCGGCCTATGTACCGCAGCACGCAGCCAAGTCTTTCATGTCGACGGCCACTTCGAAAGAAATTCGCAAGAACGGAGAGATTCTTTGAAGGGCCCATGAGATCCTTTGCAATGAGCTCATGAATTAGTAACGGAAAAAAAGGAGGAAGGAAAAGAAGAAAAAAAAGACCGATACCCAGCAACGTCTCTCATCTCGATAACGCCCAGACTGACACTTGTCGACCGATAAACATTTCAACCCGCGGAGTTGCGCGACTACGTCAGCTCATCAACAACCACCATACTCCGTCTTTAATCGAATCGAAAACTCCAGAACTCCATAAATACGCGGTACAAAAACACGTAAAAATTGTTGCCGGAGACCGTTGACGCATTTGTCATGCAGTCATCATCATGGCGCTTGCTCGCCCTCGTCACTTGACAAAGGGCCAGAAGTTGGAGCGGCAATAGAATTTTCAGGAATAGGCTATCAAGGGGTCGCATCTCTTTTGTAACGGATGGACTGATACACTCGTTCTGGAAAAGGGAACCGAGCCATAGAGTTGACGAAGATGGCAACGGGGGAGGTGGACTTCTTTTTGGAAGCGCAACTTCTACCTAAGACGACTCGGCCCGGCAGCCCGGACCAGTCGAACCATTCATAAATACCAGCACTTTTCAAAGCAACCTCAGTTCAATGCAACACCACTTCCAAGAATTGTAGGCCAGTGATTGCGTCATAACTGTCACCTTGAATACCCTATGTGGTCTGGATATAAGGCACGGCAGCTGACCAGCACTGGCATAGGTGAAGACAGACTTGGATATATCTATTGTAGGAGTGTGAACTGCAACATCAATTACGGCTCCACCACCAACACAATAATAATATCCTAACACAGTCGTAAAAACACCCAGTATAAGCGTCATGCCCGGTACCCAACACCATAGCAGAAGGTTTCTAGGTAGAAACACAGAGACCACCAACGTCATCTAGATTTTGCGCGTTCATCTGTAATAGTCCAGGTGCCTATTAATACTTAATATCATAGCATCCAGCTGCAGGCCTTCTTCTGCAAGATAGACACATTGCGTGATGCCAAGGTGGGGGCTATTGTGCTTTTTTTTTTTTTTTTTTGCTTTTTTTTTTGCTTTTTTTTTTTCATTTTATTTTACGTGCGCATGGCCCGAGTTTTACGACTACAGGCCACGCACTGGCCTAAAAGTAGCTCATGCGTAGTGACCGCAGCAACGAATGGTACGAGATCAACCACCGTTCTACTCTGTGCCAAGTGCGGATATATGCGAGAAATTGGTATATAGAAAAGCAAGGATCGGGTCCCCACGGCGTCTCAGTCACCTCTCCCCCCCTGGCAGGGGTGTAAACAGGCGGGCAAGGTGCATATCGCAGCTGCAGACCAAGTGGCATTTGCCAGGTCCGAAATAGAACGACCTACTTTATGAAAGTTATATTGGCTCGTCGGCGGCTCCCCAGCCGAGTAGACGGAGTGACGGTCACTCGGGTCTCCGAGAGGGTTGTCGGGTTGTGCAAGTCCAGCGGTAACAGCCCATGCTGGTTCAACGGTGATCGAGGGGAGGAGAAACAGCTCGGAGATCAAGGAAAGACACGGGCCCTCAGGGTACTTGAACGACACTGAACTGAGGAAAAAAGCAAGAGTGGTTGGGAGGAAGGCTCATCGCTCCTTTTGCCCACGATCTTGCTCTGGTTGGTTGGCTGATCTGATGGCTTGAATAGGCGGTGGCGTCGCCCGATGCATTCTCCTTTGTTCGAGCACCAAGTGCATGTCTACAATTACCACCAAAAAAGTTTGATATACTACCTTGTATGTGGTGCACCTTGGATGCGGGGTTCCCAGGCTTTTTGGTGATCACTGTAAGAGCAGTAGCAGTCAGACCACTAGCAACAAGAGCCAAAAGGACACTGCTTCTGGGCCGGCCAGCCTCCCGAACGAACACCACGTGTGCAGTGTCGAGGCACAAGGGGGTTTGTTCCTGCAGGGGCACACGAGGGGCCGCTGCTATCTGTGTGTGTGTGTGTGTCAGGGCTGCCAGGCCCCCCAGGTCTATGACAGGGCAAGCCTGACAGGGTTAAAAGTTGGCGTAGATGTACCTGTATCTGCAAATCTGTAATTGTACATATAGGTAACTGGGCCAGCGCCTAGGCGGCTGTGGGGGTTGACTGACAACGAGTGGCCGTTGAGCCCGGTCACCCAACTTACCTTACTCGCAACGCAGGCCGAATCCAGTCACAGTTGACTTCCTGGGCTGAGTAAGCTGAGACCACGAACCTGCCTTTCTTTGCTTCTTCTTCAACACTACACCACCAACTCGCTGAGCAGCCCTTGATCGGCACTTCCTTCATGTACCGTACATGGTGGACGTCACCGGCAGATCTGCTGTCCAGTCCAGTCCAGTCCTGTCCAGCCTTTCCCACAGCCGCCCGTAGAGTGGCACGCAGTCTCTTGCCGCCCTCCTCGCCTCGTCTCTCGTCAGCCATGACAACTTCGTAGCCTCACTACCTAGGTAGGTAGGTACCTACCTATCGGCTGAGAGACCTGCAGAATTGAGACTGCACGCTGGGTCTGAAACCGGCCCTCTCTCTGCCCTTCCAAATACCATGTCGCGCTCACGGGCACACTACCAAGAACGCCGCTGGATATCCACTTCCCTCTTCCCGAGCTGCATCTCCCTCTGCCTTGGCTCGACAGGAGCGAATGCTAACCTCTTCCACCCAGTCAGTCGTTCGATTGCACCTTGTTCGAGGATACCGCGCTACTCACTACGTATCATCAGCATGCTGTCGTTATCCCAACAGCGGTCAGGCAAGTGCTTCACCGCTCAGTGAGAATGGAATTCCTTGGCAGACGAGAGCTTTAATGCGAAGGCGCCTCTGTCTGCAATTATCTTGTTTACGTACCATCGGCAGACCATTGTCCTCGATACCGCGGCATCGTCGGTCAATGCCGAACAAGACAGGGTAGCGCCCTGCCCGGTGGTGGCTCCTTGATTGCTCTCACTAAGTGCAAAGGTCGCATTCTGGGCACCGCCTGTCTGTTTTCCTGGCCCGTGACCCAGCATGGGCCTCCCCTGTCCCCGGCTCTCGCGAGTGCTCGCTCATGGCCGGCGAGCGAATCCGGTGCCAGCGAGACGGACCGGATCGAATTCAACTGGTTGCTCGCCTCTCTGTACGTCGCCGCCTGCACCGTCGCACAACGAGCGCTCCTATCGAGTCGCATCTCACTCGCATCTGCAGCTGGCCGACCGTCTCTCGTTAATGTGCGACGCCCTGGTCCAATGGTCGGATGGAACGGATCCTGCCGCATCCATCATCCACGCCTTCATAGGGCTTCGACAGCTACGGCGCCTATCGATTCATAAGGCTGAACGCCCGATGCTACCTGCCTGCCTACGAGAACCGGGCGAGGTAAGTATCGACAAGGGATGATGGATTGACGGTGGGTTCCCAGAACCGAGGCAATATGCGTAAAGTTGTTGTGTGTGGATCTCATATGTCCGCAACGACTGTGTCTCATAATGGAAATGGAGGGCAAAGAACAGATGCAATGTCACCCTCCCTTTAGGGTCGCCTGCCGTCCCCCCTTCCGGACGACGCCTTAAGGAAACCATTCGAACGGCCAGTAATAGCACCCGGCGGGGGTGGCTCGCTGCCCCGGCTTCCGTTATTTTGGCATGCACCCATTGGCTGCCCTCCCCTGCCGGACTGACGAGACACACGACTCTGCGACCTCCGCTCTCACACAGTAGTTTGCCTGCACAACCGGCAGGGACCCCGGCTGTCTTTTTGCACCGCCGCAACATGCATACACGGCATCGCACCGCACGACCACAATCACACACGAATGCTTCTATTACCACCATTGTCTACGGATGCCCCCTCCCCGCTAATGATCTCCCACGGCTACCGCCCCCAACCTGACTCGACAGGCACTGTATTTCGTAAGGACATCATCGTCAGCCGGTCCAAAGCGGCCCCAACTCGCTTGCTCTTGTTTGTACCACCACATTCAGCCCCAGAACAATATACATACAGCCAGCTCTCACAGTCTGTGCCCATCGCCCCGAATGGCATCCATCCTTCCCCTTCTACTTTGTTCGTGTACTGTCTGCCCTTCCACCCCTCCAGGTCATGGACCTCCTTCGCAGTCACGTCACTCGCTAAGGGCCTCAGGAGATCCATCTCCCTTCGTGCCATCTTCCCCATATATGCCCTGTACCAGTCGTGTTGGACCATCCTGTCCTTGACTCTGCTATATGGTCCGCTTTGTACGACCAAGCTTCCACCAAGATGCCTCGGTCGAATTTTAACATACGGAGGCTCATCTCACCTCGCCCTTCCCCGACAGTAGAAGAGTATCGTCACTTGGAAGACTCTAATAAGACTGAGGACCTTGATCTACCCAGCTCGCGGCAGAGACAGCAGGAAGCCAATTCCTGGGCGCCGCCCAGACGCCCGTCCAATTCCCAACCGGTGAGGCCCTCGAGAGGGGGTGTCCCCGTCCGAGGCTCACAAAGCGTTCCTTGTCTCCAGGGATCGCCACATTCATCCTCGAGTTCTTTGTGTAGTTGCGAGTGTCCTAGGGACACAGCTCCGACTACCCCCGGATATGGCACCCTTTGTTGCTCTCCACCACAGGAGAGAAACTCTCGACTTTCGGCGCCGAAGCGTCTCGCGGAACGCAGACATCTCTGGATATCTCCCCTATCACCGCCATACGACAGCGTGCCTGGGCCCAGCTCGACAGAAGCTGACACCAAGGCTCGCGAGGCTGGCTTCGTAGACTTATCGTTACATCCCGCATTCAGAGGAACCTTGACCCCTCCAGCATCGCCAGAGGAGGAAGAATACGGGCTGGACCGGTGGCCTCCAAATGTTCAACACCTCATCCAAGAAACCGACGAGGCCTTCAAAGCCGTAGGAACAGCCATCGAAGAGGCGAAAATGGCTGTATCGAACTTCCCGTCGCCTACCGATATCGGTCGCACATCTACAGCATCAGCTCCCAGTCCGTTCCAGCAGGGCTCGCCAAATTTCCCACACAGAACGCTGCAAGGCCGAAATAGCACTCCGGCACTGTCCTCGGGGTTCGGCGCTCCGATGCCGTCAGCGCTCGAAGCGAGAGGGAAGAAACCAAAGGAGTCAAAGTGGCTCAGGGCAACGGCTAAGGAATCTCCCCGCTGGCAGCTGGGAGAGAACATAATAAGCGGGCAATTCTTCCGCAAGGTGGAAGTTGACGAGCTCCTGACACCAGACCGTCTTGAATCGTTGCGGATGGAGAGGGAGGCTCAATCACAGCCACGCCGATCGAGCGACACTCAAAGGACCATCAGTACTGATGACAGCGAGACGCCACTCGAGCCGTTCCACCTCCAGGACCTCCCTTCTCGGATAGGAGCAGCGGGAGTCAAGGTGACGGTGCCACCTGCTGCTGACGTGGTCGTACCACCAAGCCCTCTAAACCTAAGAGGGCGATTGGAACCCGCTCCTAAAGAGAAGTCGTCACGAAGGAAGAAGCCAGTAACTAAGGAAGAATACGAGGGCGAGGGCACCCTGACAAATGGCGAGGTCGGCGTGCCCCCTCCACCGGCGAAGAATCCGGCAAGGTTCCTGGCCCGGTCGCAAGCGCCTCTCTTGCCGACAATACCTGAAGTTATCGTCACGACACCGGGAACTGGGGGAACCCCAATCGACAGAAGCAACAAGATGGCAGCACGAAATTTCGCGCCGGTGGACAAAGACGGCTTTGTCTTCTTCCACTCCACATACTATACTCTGAATCATGCCATGTTCCGGCACGGACCGATACGGTTTCCTCGAACGGAAGTCGTCAAGGGAATGAAGATCGACCCTGACGACACACTGGACTGGACCGCCTTTCAGATGGCCATTCTCGGTGGCGCGGGATACCTCTCCTCCGACTCGACGGACTTCACACAACTACCGGAGAATGAAGAAGCTGCTGACCTGGCCTCCTGGTTTGATGGCTTCTGCTTCGACAGTCCCGGCACCCTAATCACCATTGACAAACAGGCACGCTCACCGAAGGAGTCACTGGCGGTGCCGGCAATGCTATCTCCCAGCCCATTTACCAGACTCACGGCAGATAGCGAACTGCCCATACCTGTGGGGTCCGAATACCCCACGGGCTTCTGGAACGAGAGCGCCGTCAGCGTGTCTGAAATCCCGAAGGCCGGGTGTGACAGCCGGCGGTGGACGATGGAGGGCCATCTCAAGCGGTTCAACCGCGAGAGCGTCGAGAGCTTGCCGCCCAGCCCGATGATGGACCTAGTCATGATGAGGGATTCAGGGGGGGAGTTGGAAGTGGTGCCGATGGGATATAATCTAGGACATGACCTCGAGGATTTCCTCAAGTGGGAGGCGGAGAACGTCTGTGTTCTGGGCATGTACTGAGAGGAATGCTTACATACACGGCCGGCATGAGTTCTGGTTTGGCACACAAGGTAGATGGGCAGCATGGACAGAATACAACGAAATGATAATGGCACTTACACTCGATTGCTGCTGCTCAACACCGACATGCCGATGGCCTGAAATCTCGTTTTAGTGCCAGCGACGCTCTAACCTGAAGCAACTGCAGACAGATCCAACCGCAGAGTACTGAGTAGTATGTATCCGCTGTATGCGTTGCGCATCCACTAGGGCTGACTGACTGTACAGTGCCACCGTTTCCCGGCGCGCACGGCCGACCAACGCCGCCCCCGATATGTAGGTTCCGCCATCCGGCGAAACCCCCCCCCCCCTCCAGCGAACCCCGCCACGGATCGCCCCGGCAAGACCCGCCCGCACCTTGTCCATGTGCGTTGTGGTTAATTTTCTCTTTTTTTCTGGATCGACTTTACGCGCTGAACCTCATCCCCGCCCGCCCCTTCTCTGACGAACGAACCAACAACAAACGAACGAGAAAGAAACCAAGCCAGCTAGCTGACTGACGTCCCGGGCTGATTCAACGACCTCACGGCAAAGGCAGACAGACGCACGCGCCCCCCCAAGATCACCGCCTGCAGAAGGGGAGGGAGGGTAGCACTCGCATCAACGTCGCCTGGGTGCCGCGGTCCTTTTTTTTTTTTTTTTTTTTTTTTTTTTATAAATTTATTTACCGGGTCCTCTTCGTCGGCTGCTGGTGTGCCTCGCGCCCGAAGACGACATCGACGCTCGCTCGAGCGGGGCCGACTCATCGCACCACTGTCGTTGCCTGCGACGGGGACCCTCTCCTAGACGACACCCGCATTCCTACACTCATCTCGTTCCCTTCAGCCTTGGCGCAAAGCAGAACGGACCCCTCGCCTGTCCAGGCTGCAGCTCACTCACACACACACACACCCCTCCTCGCCTCACTGTCACACTGCATCGCACCCGGTCTCATCAGGCTCGGATTCGGATCTCATTCCCAACCCGCTTGGGTCCATCTTCACCTCCATAATCCAACACCCCCCCATCCACCCATAAACACACACACACACACACACACACACACACACACACACACCTGGCAACCATGCTCCGCCGGCCCGCGACCACCCTCACCATTACGGCCGAGGACATCGCCGCCTACGAGGACCGCCGCGCGCGCGAGGACATGCTCCGCGAGCGGCAGGTCCTCGTGCAGGCCCAGCAGGCCCAGCAGCAGGCTCAGCAGCAGCGGATCCTCCAGCAGCAGTCTCAGTCCCAACAGCCCTTCTCTTCACCACAGCCACTGCAACAGCAACGAAACACGCAGGCGCAGCTCCAACAGATGCAACGCCTCAGGCAGCAGCAGCAGCTCGACGATGAGAGCATGGTCACGGCCGAGGGCGATGACGAGGACGAGAGCTTAGACGAGTACGAGCTGCTGAGGAGGCAGCAGGACATGATGAGGGCGCAGAGGGCGCAGCAGCAGCCCGGGAGAGCCGGCGCGGTGCAGACGACGCCTACCCCTGGGGATGGGGGCCGCGGGGGAAGGACGAGGGAAGACAGGATCGGGGTCGGGCGGCGCGGGAGGTGAGGGTCTTTTGGGGGGGGGGGGGCTTGTTAGTCCCATGCAACGGAAGGATGGATATCTGGGAGCAGCAATTGGCCCAACCCAGTTGAAGCTGGTACTGGGCCTTTCTTTCCATCTTACTTCTTTTTTATTTTCTCCTCCTCCCCCTCCCTCCACCCTTTTCGTAGTCACTCACGTGGGGTGTGAGGCTTATATTCGGTGGGGGGGGGGGGGGGGGGGGGTTATGTCCCCGTCTCGTTGGATGGCATGTTGGACAAGACTAGAGCCAGGAGTGCGGACGGCTTCCCAACCCCCTCTACCGTATGCCGGGCACAACTTTCAAGTAACAACAACAAAAAAAAAAAAAGAAAGAAAAGAAGAAGAAGCCAGGAACCTGTATTCTCCGAGAAGTTATCCGTTTCTAAACAGAGACAGTCCACTTTTGAGGCCCGTGTCCAATCATCGATGTCACGTCTTCCAGACCGCCGAGTAGCCCTGCCACCAGATATAGACAATGCAAAAGACGAAGAAACAGCTCCCAAAGGATAAACAAGAACGAATGTTCTCGCTGAAATCTAATATCAAACGGGGATCAGCCTCCAGAGGACGCTTCCACAAAAGCACACCACCAACCCCTCCCCCCCTTCTCTCTGTCCAGGTCGTAACTCGTTTAGAGACAAGAGAGCGTGTACATCGCAACCGATAAGTGTGGAGAGCCGCTAACGCCGAGCAATGCAAGACCGGCAAGAAGTATAGGGAGAAGAAGACGTGAAAGGCCGCTGTCGTCTGGAACTCGAAGGCATTGTTGGAGAGCCCAACGGTCGCAGACATCATCAGCAGGATGACGTTTGCACACTATCCGGGTCAGAATGGTGACTAGGCGCCCTGGTTTCGATCCCGTTCGATTTCTCTGGATGGTGATGACGCGTCTTGCATCTGGCCCCCCGGGTCAGCGCTCTCCAAAAGGGGGTGGGACTGTCTGCGAGCACTTACATTGTAGAAAACGCTGGCCTGCTTGATTCCGCCCACCTCGGACAGGTACTTGAGACGGCCTCGCAGGAAACGCTTCTGCCTCGGCGTCGCGAAATCGCTGTAGCATGCCGTGACCAGGGGCCAGATTATCATCAGGCCGGCCGCGCCCTTGAGTGGATCGTCGGCTTTGGTCTTGCCCACTGGGAACTGGGCCACGACGACCCCATAGCCGTTCCACTTGCAAAAAAAGGGCGTCGCTGCGATGATGTCCTCGACACGCAGCTGAGCTGAGCGTTTGAGCACCTCATAATCCTCACCCGCGCGGTAGTCGTCGGGAGAGACGAGCCAGGCCATGCATCGGAGGATCGTGGTCGTGAGCATGAGGTGGCAGCACCAAGTGGCCACGTGGAGGACAGCCAAGGGCAGGTTGAAGAAGCCGTATACCGGGCCGGTGAAGGCCCGCGCGGTGTCGAGCTCTTCATCGGACCCTTCGGGGACCCACTCGAGAGTGTCGACCTTCCACTGCGGGCTTGGGTCATTGTTGAGCTTGCGGAACTTGGCCTCGAGGGCTTGAGCACGCTTCAGGATGTCAAGGACCTTCTGGATCGTTCCGGGCTCGCGGTCCCCGGGGCCCAGAAGGCGGTCCATGTCCTGCCTGATCTGGCTGCTCTGGATGTCCATGTTGGCAATCGCGTGCTGCATGCGGCCGCGGCACTCGTGGTGCAGGAGCCAGGTGAACTCGGCCACCTCGGGGGAGTTGGGTAGGCAGTGGATGGAGAGGCACTGATTTCGCGTGATGGCAAACAATTCCTCGCCTTCGGGTGTTTCGAGTCCCTTTTGGCCCCTGAGCTTGACAATGATGGCGGCGCCCTTCATGTGGTCGGTGTACGCCGCGATGGAACCACGGGAAGCCGTCAATATCTAGATCCTGTTAGCATGGTCTCGCGGGAGGAGATTGGCAAAGGATCCTGCCTCGTAGAACGCCAGCATCAGCACGGCACCGAGAGTCTGGTCGTCCAGCACCTCTTGCGGGTCCATGATCGCTTTGTTGACGGCCCGGACAGCCCGGACGTAGTGCCCCTGGGCATGAAACAGGGCGGCGCTGGCATTGACGGTACGGCGGTTTGCCAGCGCGGCCAGCGAGACTGCCTTGTAAGTTTGGTAGAGGCACTTGGAGACCTTCTGTCCGCTCAGGAACCGGGGGAGGAAGCGATAGTAGCCACGGGCCGTCGGCGTCTGCGGTACAATAATGAATTCGGACAAGAAGTAGCAAGAGGCTTGTTCGTCTAGCGAGTCGAACATGGACTTGGGAATGTCCTCGTCCTCGTCGGTCGTGTCGTCGTTATTGTGCCACGGAAAGGTGACCGGGTTCGAGTAGTCAAACGTCTTGTACTTGGGACCGGCAACTGTCTTCAGGCATTGCTTGTTGCAAATCGGGGTTATGTCATTGTCTTCGTCCGAGCCCTCCTCCCCTCTTGACTTCTTGAACCTCTTGATCGTCGCCTTGGTCTCGTCGCGGATGTTTGCCTCGAAGGGATCGCGGTAGCCCGGACACTGCCGTCGTGATTTCTTGCATCTCATGCAGAATGGCTTGCCTTCGTCGCATTTGATCCTCCGAGCCCTGCACAGCTTGCAGCCGCCTGATGGCTTTCCGGTGTTGACCATGATTGCGGTGAGAATACGGGGTGTTGAAGGTTATACAGAAAGATGTCATCGAGTCGAACGCACGCTGGAGGAGGCTTTGAGAATGCGGGAGGGGTCGAGATCCTTTTCATGACTCTTCGGAGCGACAAGCAGTTGGATCCGAGATCAACTGGTGAATGGCGGCCACATATTGCAGCTATAACATAAGCGTGGGATAGTGGAGGGGTTCTCAATGTCAAAGCGACAAACTCCATGCGTTACGATGGCATTCCAACGTCCACGGCAGACTTGGCAAGCTCCATCCCTGGTCGGTGGCTGAAGGACGAAAAAGCTGGATCACCGATGGCACGCCTGCGAAACTGTGTAGTATTTGGATGCAGTGTTATCAGTAGTTCAGACGAAGTGCTATCTCCGAGTTGTCGAATGACGACCCCAGGGGAGCCCTAGCACCGGGCAGTATGAGGCCAACCATATCTGTTGAGCCGGAAGGATTGTTTCATGCGCTGCTAGGTCGTGACTGTACATCCCCGGCGGCGATTGAGGGTGGCTCTGTCGGCTCGTGCGCGGTGCGTTTGAGACGGCAAGGCGGGAGACAAACTACATACCAGATTAGAAGACCAATGTTGGACAACCTAACGGAACAATGAAAGGAACACGCCAGCTTGCCGGCTAGGCGGTCGATGAATGACAGTTTAGACAGGTACCAATGCTGTGGTTGTTCGTGTGCCATCTGCCGAGGCGATGACCATGAACCATATGCCATTTCGTTGACCGTTTAGAGAAAACCTTGCAAGCCGAGCTACCTGATTGAAGAACAAGTGTGCGACTTTCCTATCAAAACTTGCAAACTCAGGCGAACCCGTCAAGTCGAACCGTCTCTCTGTCTGACCGCAGGCGTGCCCATCGATCTTGTCGGCACGGGCTGCCTTGCAAGAACTCCAAACTCGAAAATTGTCTTCGGTTCCGATGCCGGCTCCGGGCTGGGGGAACGCCTCAAGAGATCATCCGTGTCCTGCAGAGGGCCATGCCAAGACATTACCAGGAGGTGCTTAACTGTACGAGCCGCTCGCGGGGTCGCATGCACGGAAGAGTCTGTTAACCAGCAGGGGCTGACATTATCGAGTTGAGCGGCAGACATAGATAATGTTTGCTGAATCTCCAATTCCAACGGTCTGGTGGATGGGCGCCGCTCATGCCTCATGCAACGCTTGACAACGTAGAGCAGCTCCGTGGATTGGTCATCACGGTTGATGCCCAACAGTCTCATCCCGTTGTTTCTCTAATCAATCGATATGCTACCGTTAGACCATGAGAAATGATTCGGGTAAACATTGTCAACTCGTTGTGTGCCAAGACCTATGTTTGGCGATGGCAGCTGACGTTCTTGATTCCTTGGACGCTGGGGCGTCTCTGCGTGGTCGTTGTTGAATCTATACCTTGGTACGCTTGGCAGGCCACACTTGTATCCGGGTGCAAAGGTGTTGGGAATGAGTATGGCGGACGGGAGGTCCTCCCACTCTAGGCCATCAAGCGTTATGGAAAGCCGAAGGTTTGAATTCTTCTATGTATGCGTGTAGGTGAAGAAACGACCAGCACGCACCTGCCGGCCCAGCGATCGCCGCTTACGTGATGGCTAACCTCCAGGTACCTCCTTGACCGAGCTTGTGCGGGGCGGGGGCCATCTGTCGATCAACAGCTAGGTAGGTAGACGGACCCACTTTGACATATTGAGCTGCAAGCTTAACTTTCACTCGACTTCAACAAAACAACAACAACAACGTCGACGTTCGCCTGTCCCACGGGCCATCATCCAAGCCACATTCCTGACAGGTTTACATGATGAAAAATCAAGGTTTTGCGCCAAGAAAAGTAATAGAGCTTGGCCTATCTCCGACCAAAAAAGTCACCAGTATTACCTACTTGCATTGTCGAACCCCGCCAGGCTGGTTGGATCATTACGCTCAGAGGCTGTTTCTCCACGTTATTTGAACGGAGAAGGGGGGGAGGTCGTGGCGCAGCCGAAACGAATGCCATAGGGCTGTGGGCTTTCTGAACGGCGCCTGCAAACCTACCGGTAGGCTGCCGTACCAGCCTGCAGTGACACGGGCAGCACGCTGCACATCTGAGGCAATGGCCAACAGGACGGCCACGACGGTTTTGGGGCCCGAGTTCTTCGTTCCGAGCATGCAATTCCAATTGGACTGACCCCGAATAGCCAATTTATCAGATGATGTCTAAGGCCGAGAAACAGTATTGTATGCAATGCTGAAGCAAAAACGGGCCACCAAGCTGCCTCATCGCTTCAAATTCTCCTCACCTTTGTCCGAGGTCTCCCATACACAGCTCAGTTTGCACTAGACGACTGATGGGCTAGACATTCAGCCCGATAACCTTAACCTTTCAAGCGGATCTGGAGCATCCCTCGACTAAACTTTCGGAACTTGCCTGGGCAGGTCTGCTCTGTAATTTACGAGGAATCCTCCATGAATCCCGAGCTAAGTTGTGTTGAGTTTGAACTTGCTTTTCTATTTGGCTCGGATCACCCAGTGGTAGGATTCGAAGGCGTCACAGAAATTATGCGGAAAAGATCAAACCGCTTCAGACTTGCAGAAACTGGTTTGGTGACTACAAGATCAATGGCCTATCGGCTTCACAAGCGGGAACAACAAAAAGCTGCGCTGCTAAGTTGGGACTATACCATCACCGTTCTTGCTAAACTCATCATCAGCTTACAATTTAACGATTGCAGAGGCTTCTTTTTTTATAATAAAAGAAAAAGGCAGCATGATGCACCCAGTAACTCACAAGCTACTGTTCCGAATGTCGAGAACCATTGTCCAGACAGCTCTTTGCGGATATGGTACCTCGTGGTTCCAATCAGTTGGCAGATGCTGCCCGGTATTGCAATTCGTTTTGCGACTGCAGTTGATACCCCCTGACCCGGGCCGCGTCCTCGGTCGACGTCGTCAAGGCTGACGTTTCCGTCTGACTGTAACTGCTACCCTGAGCTACCTAGCTTTTGAGGGGTCGGTCAAAACCCACACAGCATTGAGACCCGTTGAAGCCGCCCTCAAGTTCCGATCCCGGGTCTTCGATTTGCTGTGCCAAACACCCCACGCGAAAAGACCGGATCGGAGATAAACGACCTCGGTTGCTGAAGGGTCGTACGATATCCAGCAGCTAAATATGAAGCGCGGATTACTTCCAAGTATTTCTCTTCTTATTTTACACCGCCGTTGTTGGCTCATTTGCCTTTTGGGCGCGACATGTTTGTTGGATCGTCAGGTATGTGAGGTGGGGTAAGAAGAAAGAAAAGGTATCTGGTAGAAGTCCTTCCTCTGCAACTGATCGTGTTATAAGTGTAGCAATGCAAAGGGAAAATCGAAGGTAAGTATCTTCTCGGGCTGAAATACGTGGTAACCCGGGTGGTTCCGGATGCATAAAAGAAGCAGCTCTTACTGATACTGATCTCAGTTGGATCAAGCGACGAATCCCATGGAAATTTCCTCTCATTTAGTCGAATATAGGCTGTTGGCCGCTCACGAGAATCGACTCCTAAATGGCGGTTTCCCCCGGATGACCGCATATTCTTATCCCAATGAGCGGGCTATCCGCCACACCTTCCATCCAGTTGTCATGTCTTGGTTTTTTTCGTTGTTGTTTTTTTCGTTGTATCTGATGACACCACCACCCCCTTCATCCATGTCCCACCGGCGAGAGGGGCAGGCCATGTTCGCTCCCGCAGTAATCATATCAACCGCAGCTCACTTGTCGCATGTCAGCTGCGCTGCTTAGACGGACGCCTGCATGGGTCCCGATCCTCCGCGCCTGGTTAGGCAAAGATGTGGTTTAATGCGCCGGGGGGCTGGGTTAGGCTCCACAAGAGCCTGAGCCGCTGCCCGGTCAGCCCGGTCAGCTCGCATCCTTCGGCATGATATTTCATCCGACATGTCCACCGGATCTCAACTATCAATAGCCCGGGTAAGAAAGTCTTCTGGGCAAAGCCAACTTCCCAACCGGTGCTTGAACTGATCGCGCTGGCTTGCAAACCACACACCATTCACCCATGTCCATTCGGACTGCGACATTAGCCAACACCTCAACATGACAGCGGAGGAACCTGGTGACTGAGACTCCGTAGGGCTGATGACACTCCGAATTCAAAATCCCGCTCGGGTCGGAATTTACTATCCGCAGTGTCATTTATCGACAACCATGACGTGGCTCAAGAATGCTGAGCTGCGCTTCGGCGAGGGTAAGCAAGATTCGAATTCGCTTAACTCCAATGACAGTTAATCATTCCCGTCTGGCCATGCTGCCATTCACTCGTAATCCCCCCTTGACCCCTGGTACGGCTTGACGGTGATAGACAGCATGATAGGATACATCTCGCCAATCAGGCCGTGCTGGGTCGCTGAACTCCGTTTCAAGCTTCCTCTCTCCTTTGGATATATATAAAACTTGCGTAGCCCATCAGTATTGAACATGCTGGGTCAACACGGCCTACATTAATCAACCCAGGGAAATATGGATGCATAAAGAAACATTTGCTTTCTGTACTCGGCATATAAGCATACATCGCATCTTCAAAACAAGCAAAGCAATCTTGCTTTATGATGGCTACCGCGGAACCCGATCCACAAGGGGCACCTGTGGTCGCCCTCGAGAAACACACTACCCACGTCGACCAACATGGCAAAGTCGTATTCAAGCCCTCGCGCGAGTTCCTCCTCGCCTTCGGGGCCCTCTGCACCATCGCCCTGGTCGTCGCCCTCGACGCCACGACCCTATCCGTTGCCCTCCCAACCATGTCCCTGGCCCTTGGCGGCACCGCCCTTGAGGCCTTTTGGTCCGGCACCAGCTTCCTGCTAGCCAGCACCGTTCTGCAGCCCACTGTCGCCGGGCTCAGCGGCATCTTCGGACGCAAGCCCCTCGTCTTCGCCTCGGCGCTCCTGTTCGCCGTGGGCTCAGTCGTCGGCGCCGTCGCAAACGACTTCGCCGTCGTGATCGCGGGGCGGACGATCCAGGGCGTCGGTGGCGGCGGGATTATGGCCCTCATAGAGGTCATCATCACCGACCTCGTCCCGCTGGCCGTGCGGGGCCAGTGGTTCTCGCTGCTCTCGGCCGTGTGGTCCGTCGGCACCGTCACGGGCCCCCTGATCGGCGCCGGCTTCGCGCAGGACGTTACGTGGAGATGGATTTTCTGGATCAACTTACCCATCACCGCGCTGGGCGTCGTCATGATCTTCTTCTTCCTTAAGCAGGTAGGCATCCCGGGCGAGGTCAGCGCCAAGCTCAAGAGGTTCGACTGGCTCGGCAGCTTCCTCTTCACAGCGGGCTCGACGAGCTTCTTGTTCGGCATCTCGACGGGCGGGGTCATGTACGAGTGGTCTTCGTTTAGGTGCCTGCTGCCGCTGCTCCTGGGCGCCCTCACCATCGCCGGGTTTGGCTTCTGGGAGCTCAATTTCGCGAAGGAGCCACTTATCGACAAGGGCATTTTCAACAACTGGACCATGGTCGCTAACTATATCATGACCGTATTTCACGGCATGATTCTCTGGTCTATCCTCTATTTCCTCGGTAAACTATCCCTTAGCGCCTCCTTTCGAGTCCTCTGAGAACTGTCCGAGCTGACACATCCCCGCAGTACTTTACTATCAAGCCGTCAAGGACTACTCCGTGGTCATCTCCGCCGTCGCCGCCCTCCCCGAGTCCCTCACCGTTGCCCCCGCCGCCATGGTCGTCGGCCTCATCGCCGGAGTCACGGGCCGGTATCGCTGGTCCCTTTGGTCTGGCTGGGTCATGACGACTTTCGGTGCCGGACTCATGTGCCTCATGCGGCCCTCCACCACCATCCCCCAGTGGATTTGGCTCAACATACCTATAGGGATCGGCACGGGCATGCTGTTCCCCGCCATGGCGCTTTCGATCCAGGCGGCCTGCGCACCGGCTCTCAACGGGCAGGCCGCAGCCTTCTACTCGTTTCTTCGCACGTTCGGCCAGTCGGTCGGCGTCGCCGTCTCGGGCGTCATCTTCCAGAACGCGTTCCGGACAAGGTTGGAGCAGATCCCGACGCTCGCGGACGCGGCCGAGGAGTACTCGCGCGACGCAACCATTGTAGTGGAAGTTATCAAGAGAATGCCGAAAGGGGACCCCATACGCGCGGACCTGGTGGAGGCGTACTGCGACGCGCTGCGGGCGATCTGGATCAGCCTGATTGCGTTCGCGGGGTTCTGCATGCTCATCAGCGTTACGGTCAAGAAGTACAGCCTGGATCAGGAGCATGTCACCGAGCAAGGGCTCGTGACGAGTGACGACACGAGCAGGGAAGATGTGGAAAGGGGTGAGAAGGATGAGCGTTGAGGTGGACTGGCCTCGGGTTGGTGGGAGGTAGATAGATGACACCGTACATGTGTTTTATGATATCTGGCGTTTAGACTTACCTCTCCAATGCGTAGTTGTTAGCATGAGGCATAAGTTTAGGAAATAGCAAATGTTCTAAAAAGATTGAGTTATCAGGGGAGGGTTCAGTGTGGAATAGTATATCAGTATAAACACAAAGCATTCACCTCCTTCACATAGATATCCTGCCGTGAGACTTCTTCCGTACTTTCCTTCTTTGATCAAACAACAAAACCATACTTGTCACATTTCGCCTGGGTACCATCGGTTGCTCACATCCCACCCGCACCTTCCGTTTCTTTGGTGACGCACTGCTGCCGTCAAATCCTGCTCCACCTCGTGTCGCCTTTTCTTCTCTTCAGCCTACCTCTTAAACGACTGTAAAAATAAGTGCCACTGATCGAGCTTATTCACTACTTGCAAACCAGTTTTACGTTCACCTGCGCATCACTCTGCTTTTCATCTGCAACTTGCATCCCTACGAATAAAGTAACCTCCTTCTCCATTTGCAAAACTCATCATCTATCGTGAGTAGTTGCTGACTCTTCCTGTAAGTAGCTAGTACCACGCATATATCGACAGCTCCACATCAATTCTGGCCAGCCATACAACCAAACTGAATACCCTACGCAAGACTACTTCGTCTAAACAGAGCTTTAGGCGAACATCAAGTGGGAAACATTGTAAAGTCGAACACCCGAAAAGCCACCCAGCATACCCTCCGCCTACTGGGGACAGAATGTGCCTCCGACTCTACAGACATTACACGGAATGTGGTTGTCTCCTCGCAGCCAGCGGCTCCCTCCGCGAATGCCGCCACGGCCCGACCTCGCCCCTCTGCGGCCCACAACACACCATCGGCATCGTCACCCGCGAGGGCGACGAGTGTCTATACCACGCCTGCCTCACCAAGCAGCAGCGACACGCGCCCGAGCAGTCTCGCCAGCCGTGCTTCCGTAGACCCTCTGGTCCGGGTGTTACAGACAAGGAAGTCGCAGAGGCGAAAGTGGAGCACCTACGAAGCCTCGACATGAGGGAGCGTCTCGACCGCTTCAAGGCTAAAGGCCTCGAGGGGTCGTACCGAGGCGACCGTGAGCCCAAACCGAGAGGCGGCGCTTTGGTCTTCTCGAGGCAGTTCGACGGTACGGAGTATACGGGCCATCACCCCTATGAGCACACGGATTTCGAGGAGGAGGACGTGGCGCAGCAAAAGACGCGGTGCCATCTCCGCAATGTGTTCCTCGCCACCGTCCAAAGTGAAGGCCTCTTCGATCCGAGCGACCGGTTCCTGAGCTCCGCGTGGGATGATGATAGTGATTCCTCTGCGTGCAGCAGCGAGGTCGACCCCGATGCCTTGGATACGACCTCTTACAGCGAGGGCGCGAAGCCGATGGCGCCTTGGGAGGCAATGAACGGAGGAAGTGATATCGTGACTGGAGAGGACAACGCGATGGACGTGGATGAGACCGGCCTATGCAGGGTGTATCGGGAGGATACCTACTCGCCTGCCGAGCGGACTTTGAAGCTCAAGGACTTGACTGGCCCGCGTCCCAATCGAGCGTCGGCCTGACCGACGCAAACGGGTGAGCTGCCAAGGGGGCGATGACTGAAGTAGTCTCTTCTGTTTTTTTGGCGGTTATGGCGTTTGGGGATAAAGCCGATTCATTCTGGGAACCAGTCTTGATACCTCTCTATTTGATTCATGAGCGTTGGATTTCATGCAGCTATATGTTTCTCCTGCCTGGCTGTCCGTCCTAGATCATGTGCACGCACCTGGCTTCCAGCCTAGGGATGAGAAGTAAGCATGTTGTACAAAATTGGAAACGTAAAAGATGCCATCATGTCCAGCCATATATATGTCCAAGTCCAAGTCCAAATCCTTCCAAATCGCTCAAAGTCGCCCTCTATACCGGGTTCGCCGCCCCATGATAAGATTAGATCCGAGTCGGACCAGTTGGGTATTGCCGTCCCCCAACGCCAGAGATTACCGGGCTGACCCCATGTTCTTTCCACCGCTTCCGGTCGTCCCTGGGCTCGCGATCGCGAGGTTCCCAAGGGGGCTCGCCCCTTCCTCGCATCCGGTCCACGTCGGCATGGCTGCTTGTTCGGCGCTGGGTCTCGGGTCGCACCAGGTGTCGCTCCCTTCGTCTTCGTAATTCGTTGTCCTCTTCTCTCTCCCAGTTCACGACGCGATCTCGGTCCCGATCGCGCTCCAAGTCCCGATCCCTATCCCTGTCCCTATCTCGGTCGCGTCTGCGGTCGCGGTCTCGACCACGGTCTCTCTCGCGTACCCTCTCCCTCTCCCTCAGTTCTCTTTCTTCCATCTCTCGACGTTCTCGAGCTTTGAGACGACGACGTCGGCCTTCTTCCTCGGAGTCCGACGCTCCCGAGTCATCCGACCCGATGTCGGGCCAACTGCGGTTGAGCTTGGAAGATGGCAGGTACTCCCGACTGCGGCGCGAAGGCGGATCACTTCGGCGACCAGAAGTGCTCCGATGGCGTTCCGGCGACCGGCCGTTGGGAAGAATAGACGTCACCTTTTCGGCGATTTTGTCCCTCAGACCGTCTACAATTGGTATACTGCGACGGCGCGCGTCCTCTGGTCTCAAATCGGCACGGTGAATGCGGGCGCCTGGAGGCGGGCCATGCGGCGGCGGTGTCGGCAGAGGCGCTGACGGACCCATGCGCCGGAAGCCTGGCGGCGGCGGCTCGTTGGAGTGATGAGTGTGAGGCCTGCGCTTGGTTTGTGGACTCGCTGGTTCGTCAGAATCGGAAGCCGAGGATGACGAGTAGTGCCGTGGCTGACTGTGCCGACGAGGCTGCATAGGAGGTCTGTTGGGCTGCAGATGCTCAGAGGCAGCATGCACGGCCTCGTGTGGTGGGGATGGATAGTCGGAGAAGCTGCGGCGTCGACGGTCATCTGGCGAGGTATGACCCCGGAAACGCTCCCGCTCGGGAGACCGAGGTATGTGCAGGCGTGACGGGGGGTACCTGTTCGCAGCATGCCCTGGAACATGGCTGTAAGCTACAGAAGGCCGGGTCGACGGAGTAAAGTAGTCTGCCTGCGGGCCGCGAGGAGGAGGTGAGGTCTTGGGCGATGCCTTCGGATACGGGTTGCGGACGTGGACATAAGCCGCCTTGACTCTCGGTTCGTCTCTTTCCACTGGGCGGCTAGGAGCAGTCTTGGGAGATGCAGGCTCGTCCTTTGGCGTTGCGGCCTGCCTCAGCTTCTCGGCGCACTCCTTGTGCCATTTCTCTATCCCGACATCCGGTTTACTGGGAAGAGATTCCGCGGGTAGGTCGGGAGGGAAAGGCTCGCCCGTTTCGGGATGCTTCAGGTTCCAGTGCTTGACGGCTTGCTGAATAAAAGGCACATGTTCCTCGGGGCTCAGCAGTATCTCTATCGACTCCCACCGAACGAAACCACGCAAGGTCAGAGCCGGAATGGAAGGGGCGACGAAATCGTCGTCGGAGGGTTGCAGAGAGTGTTGACAGCCCGTAACCTGCCAAATGTAGGATATGGCGGGGTGGGGCATTTCGATGAAGAGGGCTAGGATGACACGATTGTCAGCACGGAATGGAATGCATGGCGCGGGGGCCGTCGATGTCTGCTTACAATCATAATCGCCACCTACAGCCTTATAAAAGGCGGCCAGTTTTTTAGGGGTCAGGGCCTGGACATGTTTATCGCCAATGTCGGTGATCTGTAAATTTTGGCGGGGTTGTCAGTGTTTGTCCAGCATCGGCGGAGGCGGGGTGGGTGGGCGAGGACAGGGACGTACAATGTGGAGGGCGATGGCGCGCAGCAGCGAGTCGAGGATGGGTGTCGGTGCCTTGTCTGGGCCGAACAGATAACCGTAAAAGCTAGGGGACTTCGGGTCGGAAGGCTGAGTCTGAGGTTGGGGTTGAGGTTGAGCAGAGGACTCTTTCGAGTCGGCCTCTGCGGTCGCCGTCGCCATTCGGGGCCGAAGTCTACATCAAACGGTGTGGTTTTGTGGACAGGAAGGTCCCGGGAAGAAAAGTGTGGAGATGGGACGGAATGGAGAAATAGTGTATAACGGCTGTGGCGCGTGCTGACTGGCAAAAGACGTATCGCGCGCAACCGGAGTCGGCTTGGGCGAGGAATGCGTCGAGCGCACGCGGTCGTCGAGAATGAGCTGTCGTACCTTTCGTTTGGCCGAAAGGTTCAATCAAAGTCGCTAGCGTGGGAATGCGAACAAGACGTTGTCGAGTTGGGGCGGGGCTTCAACTGCTACTAATAATCTAAGATATGATATTCTTGGGTGCGGGTCGCCGCCATAAACATCATGCGCACGCGAGAGGAGAGATGTAAGGCAGGAATAGGCTGAGGCCAAGCCGTGAGTCAAGACCGAACGGGTACATAAGAGATGAGGGAAGAAGATTGTGCCCAAGGAGACGGCGTGTGGGCGTGATATGTCTCTCTTTTTGTCTGGTGGGTGTGAAGTGCCGTCGGACGGGATGGATGATGGGTTGAATGAGTGAGAGGGAGATTGGTGAGCGTGAGGCGGGCGGGAGCTGATGATGTAACTAAAGTACTTGGACTGCAACTCCAGGCGGGGAGGGTACCTGCGCCTCGTTGCTTGGAGGTTGGAGGGGGTCGGGAGGTATGGACGTGGACGATGACTTGGGCGCACGATGGCCTTTTTCTCGTGTGGACGAGTCCCCGTTAGGCAGAACCGAGCAGCGGGAGAGCAGCAAGCAAGCCAGCAAGCAACTCCTACCCGGACCTGCAATGGCTCTACAGGATGCAGGGTGGGCAGGGCAGGCCCGACAGGGCAGTGGGAGGTAAGAATAGCGACCAAACAGGGAAAACGTTTGGATGTTGGGCTGACACGTGCACCCTGGCGCAGCTTCTCTCGCGGGAATAATTGGAATACCCAGACAAGGTACCTCAGCCGTCATTCTATCCGCATACAATCTGCAAGTACCCCGACTCGACATGTCTCTGTCACCTTCCATTCTACCCAGCCTTCCCCCCGCTATGCCAATCCTACTGATTGATTGTCCTTCCTTCAATCGCCATGAATAACACTGCTCCCCTCTGGCATGCGATAGGTTCACCGGCCTTCTCGGCCTGTCCGACATTCGACCACGATTGTCGTAGATTCTCGCTGTTATCTACCCATACTGTACCTCAACTTCATCCACCTTCGATCTTGACAGGAATCCCGGTTCGATCCCGGTCTACATCAACATGGACTTTTGACACTTTTGCTCTGCATGCCCCACGAGAACAGGCAGAGTGAGGCTGGACTGCAAATTAAACAACAGATCCAGGGATGCGGGTGATCAAGGATGCTCGTCGAAGGCGATGGATGCCCAGCCCAGCCCAGCCAACCCCTGGGATGCAGCCTGGAAGTCTGTCTGTCCAGGTGAGCCATCTGCCAGGGACGAACTGCCGCGAGGTGCCAGGTTGCGAAGGTTGGTGGCCGCTCAGCCGCCATGACGGAGACTGCCTGCGCACAACGATATTGGGAAAGTCGAGGGACCGGTCCCAACAATACATACTTTACTGAGGCAGCCAGCCTGACCATGCCGACAGACCCGTCTTGTCTGCGCACCACACCGCACTGGAAAAGCCAATTAGACCAACTTACAGGTGATTTGGAGAGATCAACGCTGGACACGAGGCTCAATTCTGCTCATGTCATTTCTTCCCGGAGACCCCCGGCCCTTCCAGAACAACGATCTCATCAATTCAAGACAGCGTTATCGTTGTCTGCAGGACCATGGCAGCTTTCGGTTCCGCGGTAGGCCACACAACCCGGTCAACATCAGCGAAAAATACCAAGAACGCGGCATTTCGCCCCATCATCTGGAGGACGCACTACTGAACCACAGCGACCTGCCGGGAGCCGACCCGCGGCGACGCCTCTCGCACATCCTGACATAGCACAGCACTAAGTTTATCACTGCGGTCTACTTGGGTAGCCCCGCGTTTTCGTCTCATCCTGACCGCTGTGAAAGCGTCTGGGTATGATGTAGTCGCAGCCAAGGTTTAGGGACAGGCTAATTTGGCGGTGAACAGATGAGCGCCGATTGACGAAAGAGGCCTGTAAGGAACCTGCTACTGTACCTGGTGTGTGTACCATTTTTAACCGCTTTGGTAACACTACCTGGGCGCGTTGCTGCACTGACCGTCTCGTTGCCTCGTCTCCAGCGCTATCTTTATTCTACATGAATCTCTCGCCGTGCCACCCGCCTTGGCCCCTCTTCCCCCTCGTCTATACGATAACCTGAATTGCCGAGTGTTTATTGGAAAGTCACACACCACAGACCAATGCCGGCACTGGCGAGCGAGATGAAGCTCCGTACTAAGTTGAGTGTCCGCCACCTTGTCAACAGCTCCGTCGTCTCGGACAAGGAAAGCGTTTCGACACCCTGCGCACCGGCCATGAGTGCGTTGTTCGTCGACGACATGACGACGAGGGTGAAGGGCATGATGGCGAGGCTCAGGACCGCGGCGGTGGCGTACGGCTTCCACACAGCCCCCCGGTTGTGGTGGTCATACGCCGTGTAAGCCAAGGACAAAAAGGTAACGAGCGCTACTTTGGGGCCGGTCGACGCGCCGTTCAAGAAAATATGCCGCCATAGCCTCAGTGCATGGGCTGGTTCGGAGCTGCCTTGGAGGATGGTAGGGACGCTGAACATGGACAATGATGCAGTTGCGCCTGAACTAAGGGTCGGCAACTGACGTCGGCCCCCAAGTGACACGAGCAACACTCGGTGGAGTGGGGAGGGGCTTCTGCTTACCAGCCCACCAGGCACAGCCAAGGATGCCGGTTGCAGTGGTAATTGCAGTGATCAACCCGAGTTGAAGCATCTTGGCAAGTTGTGTGTTTGGGGGTTCAGTGGCCAATACTCGTTTACAAGGTGGGGTTCCAAAGTTTGCTGATTATTTCTCTCCTGGATGACAGTTCTTTGACGAGATGCAGTCAAGTTTTGGTTTTGGGACGGCTTCTCTCTATTTAAGTTCCATAACTACTACTACGTGGTATTCCCCAGAAAACGGTGATAGCGTTCGCCGACCATGCGGGAGAAGAACGGCGGACGACACATAAATGTCCGAAAGCTGGTACTGTTTTGTTTGCCCCGAAAAAGGTCCGGGACCCGGGGCTGGTCGGGCAGGCAAAGCAAGCCCAAAAAGTCCGAATTGCACCGAACGGACCGGACCACCTATTGCTTCGGCCGTCCGATGCCATGGCCAACAAGTGTCGTCCCTTCTCTGACTTCTTCTTTCCACACCTTCAGCTTCTTGAAACCCCACTTGCTCAAGATCTTTTGGCTTGCAAAGTTGCCCGGCTCCGTGACGGCGGTGATGATCTCGTTCACCACGTCCCCAGCGAGGTGCCCTGGGACGGTCGCCTTGTCGACGTTGACCTCGCACTCGGAGCGGGGCAGAGACCACCAGGCGCCAAGGAAGGCCTCGACGAACTCGGTGGCGTACCCGCTGCCCCAATAGTCCTTCTGGAGCATGTACCCGATCTCGGGCCAGCCCAGCTCGCCGCCGGCGGCCCTCTTGCAGCCGCCGATGCCGATCCACTCGCCCGTCAATCGCAAACAGATGGAAAAGTCGTAGTTGTCGGCGTCATTGGGGGGTAGGTTCTGTGCCAACTTGGCCCGCGTCTCCTCCATGTCGGCGTCAACGCGGCCAGCGGCCGACCACTTCATGACCTCGGGCTGCGTGCGAAGGACGTGCAGCGGTTGCAGATCATCCAGGGAGAGCGGTCTCAGAATGAGACGTTCGGTGACCATGGGCAGCCGCGAGGCGTGAGGTGGTAGAGGAATTGTCGGGAGTGAGGTTCTCACCGTTACGAAGTCCAGAGGTTGGACGTCCATCTTCGTCTTTGCCGTCCTTGTTTCCCCTCTTCCTAAATTCCCAGAGAGAACTCGAATTGCTTATTTTTGCTGTTCTTCCGTACACCGGTGAGCCGGCTATATGAGGTGGTGGTTGCTGTTCCAGATGCAAATTTTTATATTCTTGCGCTATGGTATCGCACTGGGGTTCAAGTTTGAGTCATCCCCTCTCATTGCACAACCCCCATAATGTCCATGACTGCTCGGTGAAGGCCTTGGCGCTATCGCCAATTTAGTCTCACTGGATTCTCCAGAAAAGACGAAGCTCGATTCGAGGAAAGCTCCGCTGTTGAGTCATACAGAGAGGACTGCCGAGTGCCGATGGCAGTCGGTGCATATCTCGTTTTACTCCCATCCCCAAACATAAGGCTCAGCTGTCAGTCCTGTTGACCGGGCCAACAAGCGTCCTTGGATCAATCTGCCACCGAGGTCACGGACAGTCAGACATTGAGATGCGGATCCTCATCCTTGGCAACACAATAGATGAGGAAACAACGACTGGGCCCTCCGCTTTCCCCTTTGTGAATGTAGGGTGTTTCTTTTTCTTTTCTTCATTGTCTTCTTTAAGGTTTCCGGGCTGAAGTGGGGGTTTTCGCCGACGAGTCTTGCCTAGGAATTTTCACATCTGAAAACATCCCGCTCCATTCAACCCCATGCACTGACTGTATCCAGCCCCTTGGGGCTTAGGGCGGCCTCTGCAGCGCGCTTGCTACCCCCCTCCCGGCCTAGAACACCGGCACCACCCACACACACACACACACACACACACACACACACACACACACTCCGTACACTACACCCCCATGGATGATTCGTCCTGTCTTACCCTGTTCGTGCCAAGTGTTGTCCAGAACATCGAAAGTTAAGCCTCTGGGCTGCTTCTGAGCCTTCCTTAACCCCGGTCACGTTCTCTATCTCAAGTTCTTGACGAAAAGACGATTCCTTGCCTAACCAAGTTTGTCTCGATGCCCTGTGCCGACATCAGCGGGGCTTACCTGGCATGATTGCCCGTCGTCTGTCACTCGAGAAAAGCAAGAGACATCACTGTGAACTCGACCCGAGCTAGTGGTGACAAATCCACATTTGTCAACGTCACCACATGGCCGCACACTCACACTCACGCTCACCAAGCAAATAAACAATGACGCCCCCGCCATCTTCGGCTACCACAGCCCGGCAGCAATCGGACCCGGGCAGCAGCAAGCAGCAGCTAAGCTGCGTGAATTGCCGCCATCGTAAGATCAAATGCGACAAGCTCCAGCCGCGCTGCAAGCAGTGCGAGCGCTCTGACCTCGACTGTGTCTTCCCCTCGCGGAAGCGGAACCGTAAGCCTCGCCAAGGGAGACAGAGCGAGCTGCTCAACCGCATAACTCGCCTAGAGAGCATCGTCAGTAAGGTTGACTCGGGCAATCCCGATGGGGCTGGCAAGACCCCCTTCGCCGCCGCCGCCGTGCCCACTCCACTTTCTGGCGCGGCGCCGGCCATCGGAGGCAAGGCCGACGGGTCCGTTGTTGCAATGAGCAACGCGGCGCCCTCGCCGATGGCGGTGTGGGACGCCCAGCCCACCCTGCCGACCAACTATATGAGTGCCGAGTTCTGGGAGAATCTCTGCCAGGAGGTCGAAGGCATGAGGCAAGCCCTGGACCAGCCCTCGGAGAGCGACGGGTCCGAGGATGAGTACCCGACGACCACGACGAGCCCCGAGTCTCTCGCCGTCAGGGGACACGGCCCGGGCCACGACCAGACCCCGCCGGCAGTGTCGGGCTTGCTTTCCAGTATCGGCCGCCATAGCACCGAGGAGCTGAGGCACCCACCACGCGAGCACATCCTGTACATGTGTAGGACATTCTTCTCCAACATTGACCCAGCCTTTAAGGTCATCCACCGGCCCACTATCTCGGCTGAGCTGGAGGCCTTTGCGAACTCGCCGAACAAACGTATTGATAACGCCACGGAGGCATTGTTCTTCTCTATGTACTTCGGTGCCATCACCGGCTTATCTCATGAGGCATGTCTCGCCAACCTGGGCGAGGAGAGGAGTGTTCTCGCGCAGCGGTTCAGAGAAGGCGTCGAAACTGCGCTGCAGAAGGCAGACTTTCTCAACAGTACAGAAATCAGAACTCTCCAGGCCCTAACGTACTATGTCGTAAGTTTCTCACGCTCACCCCGCCTGTCTGTCGGCTTGTCGTTCATGACCTAATCGCAAACATAGTGCTTCCTCCGCAGCCACAACGCCAGCCGCGCCTCGTGGGCCCTCATCCCACTCGTCGTCCGCCTCGCTCAGGCCCTGCACCTCCACCGCGACGGCGTCTCGCCTCCGCTGCCGCCTTTCGAGGCCGAGATGCGCCGCCGCTTGTGGTGGATGATCGTCGTGCTCGACATCCGCGCCGCTGAGGACCGCGGCACGGATGCCGCCATCCCCCGGCAGTCGTACAACACCAGGCTGCCCTTCAATCTCAACGATGACGACTTTGGTCCGTCGACGACGACTCCGCTCGAAGACCGGACGGGGCCTACCGAGATGACCTTCTGCCTCTGCACGTCCATGTCCTCAGGCATCTTTGGGAACATGCGGCCGAAGCACCCGCAGCTCGCGCTGGGCCCTGACAGCTCCCCGGAGACGGCGACGTCGGAGGACGAAATCATGGCGCACGCGCAGCGCCTCGAGACGCTCTTCGGCACGGCGCCGCCTAAAGCGCCCGCCTCGCCATCGCAGCAGCAGGAGCAAGAAGATGCCCGCAACCTCCCCGCCAACCACGCCGCCGTCACGGTGCGCATCATCATTCTCAAGATGTGGCTCTCGGCCCAGTACCCCTTCACGCCGCGGGCGGCGTCGACGGCCAAGCCGCGCGTCGCGCGAGAGACGATGCTCCGCACGGCGGTGAACACAATCGAGCTCGTCGAGTTCAGCAGCGCAACGTACCGCGAGCGGTTCGGATGGTGGATCGACAGCTACGTACAGTGGCATCCGCTCGCTGTCGCTCTGGCGGAGCTGTGCGTGCAGACGCGCGGGGAGCTGGTGGACAGGGCGTGGGCGGTCGTCGACCGGAACTTCAACGGGATGAGAGACCGAATCGCCGACACGAGGAGGGGCACGCTGTGGAGACCCCTGAAGAAGCTGCTGAGGAAGGCGAGAGCGGCGAGGGCGGAGGCGCTGATGGGGGACATGAAGCTGACGGACACGAGACCGACGCCGGCTGTTAAGGAGGGGGACGTAGGAGGAAAGAATGCGGAGGAGGAGGACGAAGACGAGGAAGCTGACGTTGATGCCGATGCCGGAGGAGACGGGAACGAGGACGGGTATGAACGTACCGGTGCCGGGGCGAATGTCCAGCAGGGTCCGGGTGCGCCGGCGTTACATCCGGCTTTCAAGCTGGACCGTATCGGTAACGGAATCGATATCGGTAACGGAAGCGGCGTGACCGCACGCGCCCCTCCTGCGAGCACAACCGTCATGGGCGTGCCCACGCCCATGGCGATAGACACGCAGCCGCAGCTGCCGATGGCAGACGCCCAAAACATGACGAACGTGCCTTACGGGCTGGCGTCCGATGAGATGGACATATTCAACGGCCCGATGCCATTGTTCGGCCACCCGCAGTACATATTTGACCATTTCGGGATTCAGATGGACGCCAAGGACTTCGCGTGGGACGCGAGCACGTGGAACGAGTTTGTGAGCGACGCGAATCTCGAGAGGTCGCCTGGGGATGACTGACGCGCTCGGCGAGATGGGGGCGGGCAGCCAAGGACGGGATGGATGGGTGTACGACAATGATGTGTATATGATAGACCACCCCGATCAGTCTTGGATATGTCATTCTTCACTCTCGCCTTTGGTGTTTGTCTCGACGCATCCCATGTCTGCCGACGTGAGGTCTTCCGTGCTGCGGCCATCGACGAACCACATATCCCGAGGCAGGGATGCGCGGGAATTGCTGTATGGCAACTATCGACTCTCTCAACTTACTACTCTACCCGACTGCAAGCGCCTCCGCCCCTTGTTCTTCTAAACCTCGTCATTTATGCCTGGGCCATAGAGGGCAAAGGTATGTGCCGTACCCCTTTTCCTACGGCAGTGGTTTTATGCCAAGACAAATATGGCCCGTTCCCTGGAGATTGTAACCAAAGCAGGTTATATCTCTTGATATGTGCCTACCCTCTTCTAATCATAATCATGACTGATTAGTTACAGGAGGAAGGGGGGGGGGGGGGGAGGTTGACCCAGATCAGCCATGATCCCTCCAGCTCCTTCAGTCGGGTTCCTCCGGCTCCAGGCGGCCCGAACGCCTGCATGCCAGCACGACTGCTCACTCGGAAATCGGGTCCCCGAAAAGACGGAGCTGTTGGAAAGCAGCAAGCCGACGCCGAGACAAACTCCCCCATCCGTATACACATCTGGGGTGTACCGCACTCGTCATAGTCCGACGGATTCAACGGCCGTCCCCATGTGTTTCAAGCACACGATCGCGTCACAAAAGCAATAGGCTGAAGGGCTCGAACTCTGCCGACTGACGGAGGTGGGGGTTGGCATTTGGTCTACCTAGACGGCGCTGGACGTCATGACATCCCTCTTCTGGCCGAGCTTAGCTAAGGGGAAGGTTGTGCCGCGCATCGTCTCATCAAGAAGTCATAATTCACAGGCTTCGTACGCAGGTCATCATTCGCACCCCTCGTCTATCATGAAGGATCGGTTCCTTTTCCCCATGCTGGCCATGCTCAAAAGATGTTTTTGAATTGAATTCCATTTCTTTTTGGTTCGGCCCCCTGCCTTTCAGAGAGCAAATGCACGTGATAGTTCAATGAGACCTAATGAACACCTGCCAGTAGTAGTAGCCCGCCCCTCCATTTGTCGAAAACCAGAGAAACAACGCCGCGTCCAACAACCGCTTTATGCAAAGGTGCTGGGGCGCTTCGCGCTGAAGATCTTCTGGTTGTTGATCTTGGCGACGCGGTGAGGGAGAGGGAAGCTGAGGTCCTTGGTGATGAGCTGCTTGATGTAGGGACGCTTGACGTCGTCGCCCTTCTCGAGCTCGACGACCTTGAGAATCTGTTTCGGGTTGGTTAGTAGACCGGTCTGGGCGATATTTTCAAGGAGGCACGTACGTGGATGGACCTGAAGCGGGCACGGTGGCGGGCGGCCATGTCGGAGTAGAGAGCCTCGACGGCGTCGGTGCGGGACATCTCGCGGTACTCCTTGTACATGTTGTGGGTGCCGGAGCGAGAGTCGTAGCGGATCCAGATACCGAAGTTCTTGACCTTGAGGGGGTGCTTCTCGTGGATCTGCGGCGTACAGGGTCAGTTTCTCAACTCGCTCGAGGTTTCCGGACCGCGGGTGACGCACCTCCTTGACGCTGACGATCTCACCGGTGGCCTTCTTGACCTTCTTCAGGCCACGCAAGAAGTACCAGTAACGGGACTTCGCAACCGTGACATTGGGAGCAAAGATGGTCATGCGGTACAGGGCGGGAGTCGGGTTGGACTCGGTGGGCAAGTGACGCCCGATGACCTCGTATTCCGTGAGACGACCTGAGCAAAGTCTGTTAGTTATGCGTCGTCCCCATGCCATAAAATTGTCCAGTCCATAGATGCGAATTGTCGGTGTCGAGTCCGGTGTCTTTGTAGCAATAGAAACCGTGGCGACTGCCGTTCTTCTCCCCAGCATGAAGCTGCCTGCACAAGAGTGACCTGGCCGTCAAAACCCCCCACGAGAAAAATGCCCCTCGAGAACAATTCTAGTCGAGTTCTCCTAGCTACGAGGGCCAGCCGAAATGGAAAGTTCTAGTGACGGTGTCGTAGCCATAGTGTTCATTTGCCAACCTGCCTAGCCGGAGTCGCCATCGGTAGATCACACGTCATGATCGGGGGGAAAAAAAGTTTTGTCGTCGGGGTCGCAGGAATTTGTCGAAGTTGCCGTTTTCGCATCCTAGGTCCAGAGAAGGGGAAGGAGAAATTGTGCTTACCCATCTGAAAGACTGTTAGAACCAAATTGTATTGTCGTGGATTGCGTAAGGCTTTTGACTTACTGTGAAGAGCTGGCCGATGGTCGTCGAATATCCGATATCGTGGTGGTTGCGCGGTCGAAGAACTTGGAAGAATTTGGCGCGCCAGGAGCAAAAAGGATTCTGTGTGAGAGGAAGGAGCAGTTTCCAGGGCTGGGACCTGTGGGTGGGGCGTTTTGCTAAGCGCACCCGGTCGAGGCAATCGGGGTTGATGGGGCTGGTGCTGTGGCTGAGGCAAACCCCCACTTAAACTGGAAAACCAAGAAAGTTTTAATGCACTGATGCCTGAATATGAAGGCGAGAGATTCTTACTGCCTGACGGGATACGTCTTTGGCGGGTGGTGCACCTCGGCCAATCACGTTGTAGATCAACCTTCAGACAGAACCAGCATCACAAAGAAGACGACACATCCCAGAAGGAGACATAGAAGGAGAGTGGTTCACTCAACGTCTTCGACCAATTGGAAAATCCAACTACACCTACCTATCTTGACTGAAGGTTCGCTCGATTCGGTCACTAGGTACAACTGTCTACTCCGGACAGACATTTACAGTGGTGAATTCGTCGTCCGTTTTCGCCTCCATCATCTTTCATACTGTCATCCTGCACCTGGTGGCATACACGATGGAGGGCCTTTTTGAAGAGTTTCGCAATGCCTACAAGGCAAGATCCGGATATTCTCTTGCACAAACACTCCAGCCCTTCAGCCCAGTCAACAAGCCTGGCAAGCTTCGGTCCATCTATCTGAGCACAAACATTCAAGAAGTCAAAGCCGATGTCAAGTACATGCTCCAGAGTCGAAGTTCAGGATCTAAGAAATTCAAGCTTGACCACGAGGAGGCCAACGGCTGGGTGGAGGTCTACACGGCTTACTGGAAGGCCATCGGCGAGATTTTGAAAGTGGAAGGCGACTCCAGTACTGGAGGTAGGGTGAGCTCATGCACAATAGGCCTGGCTTTACATATGCATTGCTGCTTGGCACTAACGCTCGGTCTAGTCTTCTTCATGGACAAAGGTGTATGAGGCGTGGAAGGAATTGACCACTGCTCTCATTCGCGGTTACACGAACTATGGATTCGAGGCTTGGACTATTCCTTGCCTCTATACTGCAGGCAAGCACCTACGACTTTTCGCCATTAGCTCGGACGAGGAGCGCAACACCAGCGACGCTGCCGCCAACGCTATGGAGCTTGGCGATGACTTCGACCCCGACCTGGAGAAGCAGAAGCAGCTCCGTGACTGCGAACAGCAGCTCAAGCGCATTTTCACACTGTGCTTGAGTGACAGGTATTTCGTCTCCTCCTCCAGATAAACCCCCTAGCCTAACCATCACCAGAGCGCCCCTCGAGGACTCGAGGAAATGGGCTATCTACTTCGTCATCAATCTGCTCTTCAAGACTTACTTCAAACTCAACTCTGCCAGTCTTAGTCGGACAATCCTTAAGGCACTATCTACGAATCGTGGAGATATGCCTCCATTGGAAGCGTTCCCCAAATCACAGCGGGTAACGTTCAAGTTTTATGAAGGCGTGCTTTTCTTCCTTGAGGAGAACTACGTCGAGGTAGGTATACTGGCTGACCAAACTCTGAAGAGCATACATCTGACATCAAAACTAGGCCGAGAAGCATCTCACCGAAGCATGGTCTCTCTGTCACAAGGACGCCAAGAGCAACCAAGAGCAAGTCTTCCTGAAGGTTTCCGTATCACGCGGCAAATAACTAACACTCCCGTCCGCAGGAGAATCCTTACCTACTTGATTCCCTGCCATCTCCTTACCACCCACACCCTCCCGAGTAGCAAACTCCTTGAACCGTTTCCCCACCTGCAAAAGCTCTTCCTCCCGCTATCGCGCTGCATCCGCTCAGGCGACCTGCGCAACTTTGACCTGGCCCTCCAGGAGGGCGAGGAGGAGTTCGTACGCCGCAGAATCTATCTCACTCTAGAACGAGGCCGCGACATCGCGCTGCGTAACCTCTTGCGCAAGGTCTTCATCGCCGGCGGTTTCGAGGAAGCCAAGGAACCCGGTGTGGCGCCGGTCCGTCGTACAAGAATCCCCGTTGCCGAGTTTGCGGCCGCAATCAGTCTCGGCAGCCAGGAGAGCGTGGACCCAGACGAGGTTGAGTGCCTACTGGCTAACATGATTTACAAGGTACGTGGCACCATCCCTTTCATTGTCTTCGTGGCGGAGTTGCGTGCCCGAGTATTGGCAGCCTGCCGTATGCAGCCGAAACCTGGTTATTTCGCGCAGTCAGTTGTGGGGAAAATATCCTGCGATTCTCACGCGCGTCCATCTGCCTTCGATACCAATTTATATTCGTCGTCACTCCGGCTGCCTCTCAGGCAACATCGTCCCAAGGTCGACGAAGTGAACCCCAGGCAGCCAGACGTCGTCACCTCTCATAAAGCCCATTCTGATTGGCAGAGAGTCGTTCGCCTCGCTGACTGAAGACCGACTAATCTTATTTTCCCTGCTTATAGAATCTGATGAAGGGCTACATCGCCCGTGAGCGCGGGATTGTCGTTTTGTCCAAGAACGGGGCGTTCCCCGGAACGGGGGTGTGAAAGTTGGTGGTGTGGGGAAAGTCCATGACCAAAGACTGCACTGCATGAGATAGTCACCAGCCTAAAAATGAGATACGAGCTTAATACCACAGAAGAAGGAGCGCAAAACGGCGATGGGTCTCCCAATGAGGCATCGGTCACATATCTTACACGAATGGCGAGGGGCTCGACAGAGGGAACGTCGTGCTTGGCGTTATCAGGCTCATAAAGTCTATCTCGACGCCGTTTGTCGAACTGCTGGGTGAATACACTTAGACGCCTCGCATCTTTTCATGATTCCCCCACCTGCCTTTGGGTAGGATCATGACTCTGAGCCTCGTCGCTGGCGTCGCGTATTGAGAACCAAAACTTGCTGGTCGTGTCAATCACCTGGGTCATCGTTTGGGTGTACGGTGCACTTGGTGTAGCACGCGTTCTCTGTCCCCACTATCACTGCACGTCCACGTAACCACAGCTTGCTTGATAAGTGCAGGCTGTCCCGCGACTGAATGATCAGTCTCCATTCCTAGTAAAGCAGTTCCTAATCGACTGCATTTCTTATTCAAAAAAAAAAAAAAAAAAACCCCATTCCCAGTAATGCCGTTGCATTCACGAGTACAAACAAAAAAAAAGCAACGCCTTAGGACTAGCTCCTTTCCCTTCCTCTGATATCCGCCCTCCGCGGCCCAACCGTTCAGCCGGCGCACATGTGCACCAGGTGACTAACGTTTCACCATGCCGGCTCTCTCCCAAGGTAGAAATATTTGCAGGGGTAGAGCTAAAGTGCTTGCAGCCGTAGCGTCCGGTCAGAACAGAGGGGGGGGGGCACCGAGTGTGTGAACAGGTGGTTATGATTCGGACTCAGTGATGCTATCATATGACTCACATTGCTCGAGGTAAGGGGCGGATTGCCTGCTATCAAAACTTGGCGGACCCTTTCCAGCAAAGCTACCTACTTTTACGGCCGCACCACTAGGCGAGCTCTTGGTGCGGTGGTGTTCCAGGATCCGGGAGGCTGTTCCGCGGGTGGGGATGATGGTGAATGACTGAGCTATGGGCAGGGATGGTTCGCCGGCTAAAGCGATCGGGGTGCCTTGGGCATTCACGTTCGTTCACGTAGGACTGCTTCCGGGTTATCCAATGTTTTGGGCTTACGGGTTCGTTTCAAGTGGTAGCAAGTAAAGCCGCCGGGGAAGCCGGTGGCGAACATCATTTCGTGAAAGTGAGCAGAATCTACGACGTGCGGGTAGCTTTATATCACCGGAATTGCAAAAATCAGCAATCACAACATCAACTCCTGTAGATTACAGAGCGGCAGAGCGAGTGTATAGAATGGTAGTTTTACAGCGGCGATTTGCTCTCGCAAGACGGAATGAAAAATAAAATAAACAGACGCAAACTCCTCCGTTTACTTCGTTCTAACATGATTGGAAACGACTCTGCGATCTCCATATGAGCCGTCCTCGGGAGTTGAGAAGGAAACAACCGCGATAAAGAGCCCCCAGGGCCTCTTCTTCAGAGAGACGATGACGATCTCAAGGAGATGTAAATGTAATGATACAAGGGTTTCTGGTGAGAATGTCAAGAAATCGAACCAACGAAAAATAAACCGGGCGAAAACGCGGCGTCGACGACAGAAATGATACATGTGTTCCCTAAACGCCGAGACCATCCCCTTCCTGGGAGGGTGCAAAACGCCCAATGTTTATGGTATTTTGCGAATTTTCTGCAAACCCAAAGTAAAGCCCGCCTTGTCTGACTGTAGAGTGGAAATTGAAGTGGCCAAAAGAAATAGAAACAAGGTTATACGTGTGAACATCAAGTCATTAAGTGTGAGCCGGGTATTTGTTCATCCTTGGCTGAGATGGGAAGTGATGACGATCGAGAAAAGGGGGAGCCTAGTAGGGTCCTAGAATGGACGACCACTGCGAGGAGTGCGAGGAGTGTTTCTGCTGGTGATTAGCTTCGAGAACGGCCTGCGGCAGCGTCTGGGCGTGCGACTTACACGGTCGAGATATCGTCGACATGGTTGCAGAGCGCGACGAACAGGTCGAAAAAGAGCTGGGTGCCGCCGTTGTACATCTCCAGCTGCATGGTTCCGCTGCGCTTGAAGGTGCTCCGGCTACGGATGATGAGGGCGAGATAGTGAGCCCGCAACTTGGAGTCGCTGTCGGGGGTGTTGGCGTACGCGTACCGAGCCGACGCCAGGATCGTGCTGCACTGGATCCCGGATTCTGTTTGCAGCTGTTAGCAGAGCCGAATAAAGGTTTCGGCAGATTAGAGGGTGCACTCACGTAGGCCCTGCTTCCGCAGAGAAACCCGCTTCAACTCCTCGAGCCCGTACTTCTGCGCGGCGCAGTAGATGACCGTGTCCTTGAGCAGGTCACCGTCGACGCCGTGGTGGTAGACGGTCGACTCAACGCCGTTGCGGCCGTCATCTGCGTTGAGAGCCTCGATCTCCCACGAGTTGCGGCGCTTGTTGTGCACGAGGCGCGGGTAGTAGTCGCCCTTATAGAGGTACTCGAGAACGGAGGAGAAGATCTCGGGCTCCTCATCGGGGAGGGCGACGCGCTTAGCCCCAGTACCGGCGTCGGCGCAGTAGGGGCTGCAGAGGAGGTTCTGGAAGAAGGGCGAGGCACAGAGAATGTCCTCGTGAGCGGCGAAGAGGCGCTGTTCGGTGCCGATGACGAGGGTTACGATGGCGGAGGTGAGGTTGCTGAGAGGAAGTGTATTAGCAACTACGGTTGAGATGGAATCATTCGGCGAATAATTGAACGGGTTGTAATATTGAAGCGCGGTAATACTTACTTGCCCATCGCGGTGTCCTCGGTCGCAGTGCTCGATGTGGTGGCGGTCGTCGGTCGGCGGCTGTGGCGGGACTCATGGCGATGTTTTGAAACGCCGCTGGACTTGGTGAATGAGGAGCTAGATTTAGATGCTTTGTGGCTTTTAGAGAAGCTCTTGTTCACGGGCTGCGGGGGTTCGAAGCGTCTGGTGAACATTGTGGCGGGAGGTTGGCTGAGTTTTGGGGGGGGGGGGGGGGTAGAAAAAAAAAAAAAGGCCAGATAAAACAAAATATCACAACTTAGGCTGCCTTGTGGTCGAGGACGTGGTTTCAAATAATGAGAAGAAATGGATGAAAAGAATGATCGGTTTTCGTTGCGATGGATGAACAACCGAGTTTTATTGAGACGTGTTTGACCTACCTAGGCACTGTCCCGAGATGCATGAATACAGAGGGGGGAGAGAAAGAAGAATTCATCGTTGGGATGGGGAGTCAGAATCAATATATACAGCCTGATTAACCTTGCACGGCCCCCTCCCCTGAGGAGAGATTCCATCTCCCATGCTACAGTGATTGCCTCGGGCCTGGCTGCTTTTGAACAAGATTGAGACTGTGCCTAGGGGAAAAAAAAGTGGTGAGAGCGTCGTTAATTGGACGCGTCAAGGTACTTAGACCGCGCCGACCCACTCGGAGATGATACGCGACTTCACGTGACATTGTGACAGGGGCTTAGGGAGGCGAGAGAGTTGGTGCACCGTGTGGCACTTGTGGTTGCCTATGCCCTTTGGCTTTGGGCAGGCCTACCAGACACTGGCGGGCACTGGGTGCCAGGTGGGACCCGGTCCGAGACCAAGCCACCCCTGCGGATGGATGGATTACGGCCGAGTCAGGATTTGGTGCGAGAGCGTCAGTGTCGATGGGTGAAGTTTGCCTGGCCCCATAGTGCCGAATCCAGGGGGTGGGAGTCGCCTCACTCCGATTAGCATGTATCTTTACAGTGGTTCAACGTCACAGAAGTACCTGTAACTAAGAGCTTGCTGACAGCCAGGCCATAGATTGGTGCTCCGACAATTCACAGAGCTGCCTGATAATAAAAGAAAAAAAACTAAAGGTAGCACGTTAAGGCGGCGTGGCCGCGTCTAAGCTCTGTCATCGCCGTGCCGGAAGAAGAAACTTCAGGAGCAATCCCTTTTAACCAGACTTGGATGCTGTCACACGCGAGGGGCGAGATTCTTTCAGAGGAGCTTCCGGGGCAATTGTAGGGTTTCAAGGGATCAATTGATGGTATCTCCAGATTCGTCGAAGACAATAGGCCTCTACCTTGAAAGCCCAACTTTTGTGGCCGTGGGAGAGCTCTAGAAGTGAAATACTAACCCCCCTGCACATGGCAATGGTCCGCAACGGATGACACATCCAGCAAGCAGGTTTGGTTCCAACAATGAAAACGTCACAGCAATTTCATAGAGGCCCCTAAATGTTACCTATCTCTGCAAGCCTAGTCCCGATATGCCAGGGACGTTCCTAGCTCCCAGGGACGACCCTGGAACTGGATGCAAACTCGAACGCTGAAGCAGTTCCTCGGTAGACCTCACGCTTCTTCCCAATTCGCCAATCAGGAATGCCTTTCGTTTGGCATGGCTACGTTCTCAATTTTGGAGGGCCAACAAGGCTGGATGCTTGTGTTATCAAAAGAACTCACTTTATGTCATGTCTACAATCATATTTCAGCTGCGACCTGCTCAATAGCGTCGACGACAGCTCTGCGTCCATCCAGCTTGAAGATGGCATCGTTGTGAAATGCGTTACGCACCGTCTTCTTCTCGACCGTTAACCCGACCTCCTCACAGCGCTGGACTAGCTTCGCGCCGTGTTCGGCCGGCACTAGCTCGTCTCTGCCTGCTTCCACAATTGTAATGCGAGGCTTTCCGCGCTTTCCTGACCGGTTCCTTGCAATTGCTGCCAAATTCGTCCAGCTGTCCAGGTGGTTTCGGAGGAACGGCCAGAGGTGACGGTACGGCACCCATTTCTGGGGGTACAGCGTCACCAGCATGTCCTTTACCGACGTGAAGGGCGTCTCGAGAATCAGCGACCGAAGCCGCACCGTGGGCGGGAAAGCCTCCCAAGCCGCAAGGTTCGTGGCCACTCCAGCGCCGATGCTCTGACCCCAGAGGATCACCTCCGGTTGTGGCTGGTGCCCGTGAGCATCATGCTCCCTGTGCATCCGGCCAATCCAGTGCAAAGCCGCCTGCGCGTCCAAATTGATGCCCTTCTCGGAGGGCCGGCCCCTCGATGTCCAGTAACCGCGATAGCTCAGGCACACCATGGTGTATCGCGCGGGCCGCTTGCTCTGCTGCAGCTCCCGCAGGACCCATGATAGGTCGGGCAATCGTGGGGGGATAGAAGAGGCATTTCCTGTTCTCCCTGGTGTGAGCTTTTGTGCGTCGGATTGGCCATGGAAGAAGCTATGCGTCTACGAGAGCGGGGGGATGGGGCGGACCCTGAAAGTAGAGGATGTAGATCGACGGCACCGATAGAGTGTCGCCGTGCGACGTGGGCTCATTGTCACCAGTCGATGTCGCCGAGGCCACGCAGAGGGCCAGATCCGTCCCATCGGCTGCCTGAACCCTTTTCTCCTCCCACAGCACGCCCCAGCACTGCTTCGTGTAGTCTTGGATGCGTTCTCTGCGCGCGTTGGGCGGCAAGCCGGGCATGTAGATGATCTTGTTCTGGAAGACGACCATTGCAATACATTTCTGTGTCCATAGGGCGACCAGAAGACCGGCGAAGACTAGCGGCGGGAGATACAGCGCCTCGGCTTGGAACTGCCTCTTGTGGGTGAGGCCGAGATGCGGCGGAAAGGGCAGCCGCGGAGACGTGGCTCGCCATGCTGGTACGACGGGCAGCGCTTGCAGACGGCGAGTACGACAAAGGGTCTGCCCAATCGAGGATGCGCGGATAGCATGCATCACAACCGCTTGCCAGACATGGAGGCGTGTGTCGGGCCTTGGGGGGGTGGTGGGAGTGGTGTTAGGTTACCAAAGGGTCTTGCGACGCGGGCGAGGGGACCGCCACGAGGAGTTGTAATACGGATGTCATCTGGCTGGGTCCGGGCAGGAAGAGAGGGGTTGCAAATCGGCTCTCTCCTCGTGGACTGAGGGTCATGGCACGGCAAGTATGTGTTCGAACGCGACTGGGCTCATTGTGGCCGGCATGCAGCCGGACCTATTCCGTCCAAAGAATCTTCGGAAGCAGGGTTCTAATCCGGTATGAGCAGCAAACGAAGACGGATTTTTATTATTATTTCCCAATTGCGCAGGATTCCAGCCCGATCGCGGGGATTCTGCATTCGTTCATGGCGGCGCCGTTTTCTAGAGGTTGGGAGGAGGAGTGTGCTCTGAAAGCCCAAATTTTACAGTGCCATGTTGCAGCCCATGGTGGGGAGAAAAGCCAGTCAACTGAGACAAGATTACTCGTTGACACTAGGGACCTAGAGAGCGCTGAGCCTCTTTGACGGCGCCGAAGTCTGTCTGCGACAATAGGGTTCTAGCGGCACAATGACTACAGGCCTCCAAAGGCCTGGAAGCCAGTGGCAATACTCCGGTTTGGACGCTTCTGTTCATCTGGATGGAAAACCTGCCAATGCCTCCCCAAGGACCACTGGTGAGATGGGAAAGAGACCTGTCTGATACCTACCTAGGTAGATAGGTACTGGTTAGTGGACGGGCGTCTGGCCAGCCCATTGGGACGTCATACTCTAGCGCCAAACGGTCCTCCCTGGGTTCTGGAGCCAATCCACCAATCCTATGCCTTCAAATCCTGTCCAGCTCCACCAGTTCAGAGGGAACAGGGCAGCCTAGCCATCCTATCACTTCTCACCTTACCGTAGCTACCTCAATCACATTGCAGTTTGCAGGCACTGCTCCGGGGAACATGTGCCACATGTGTGCGTTGTTGTTCCCTTCTGATCCGATCCCCTCTCCCCGCAGCGCAGGACAGACGGCAAAGTATTAAGTGTAAGCCACCGTAATAAATAAATAATCAGATGCCCAAAGAATCCCAAGCATGTGCAACACGGTATCTTGATCATCTCGCCAAACAACCCCTCCAACTCTCGAGCTCCAAGTTCCTTTCCTCCCTTTGACATCCCACATTGCCGATTAACCTGCCCCGCAATCCTGCTGAAAAACAACCACCACCACCACCATCACCACCTTCAAATCCCACTGACCGCCTTCACTACTTGTTTCTCGCCCCGCCATCTACAACCAAGCAATCGAGATCGCCTACAGCCCGCGAAACCAATCAACCAACCAACCAACCAACACCACCCATATCCCCGCGACAAGGCCAACAACAGCCCGTCATGCCCGGCTCAGTAGACCCAAAAACCCCGACCGAATCTTCGCCGAGGCACTCCCCGCGCATCGAACTCCCCGAGGAAGACGGCTCCCTACGAACGGACGGCCAGACCAGCCCCGGGCTGAGGAATAGCAAAGGATGGGACGGGAAGCTCAGGGTACAGCGCACCGCCGTCCTCGCCAACCCCGAAGTCCTTTCGGACCCTGAATCGGACGATGAAAACGTCATCCCCGGCGAGGAACTCCCCGCCGACGAAGGCAAGCAGGCTAGCCCACAGCGTCAACCTTTTTCAGTGCAAAACAAGACTAACACGCTATTGCTCTAGACCTCCTTGACGGCGAAGACCCAGACACCGACGAGCTTATCGTCTCCCATGCCCGCGTCTCCTCCATACCGGCCCTCCGCCTCGAGCGCTTCCAAAAGGTCGTCCGCCTCTGCCTCCGTCAGAACTCGATACAGTCCGTTGAAGGTCTCTCACCCATCGCCTCAACTCTCGAGGACCTCGACTTCTACGACAACCTCATTTCCCATATCCGCGGCCTAGACGACCTCGTCAACCTCACCTCGCTCGACCTCAGCTTCAACAAGATCAAGCATATCAAGCGTGTCAACCACCTCACAAAACTCAAGGAGCTCTTCCTTGTCGCCAACAAGATCAGCACCATTGAGAACCTCGAGGGCCTTGACAACCTGACCTCCCTCGAGCTGGGCTCCAATCGCATCCGCGTCCTGCAGAACCTCGACTCCCTTAAAAACCTCGAGGAGCTCTGGGTCGCCAAGAATAAAATCACCGAGCTCACCGGCCTTGGGGGCCTGTCGAACCTGCGTCTCCTCAGCATCCAGTCCAACCGCATCCGTGATCTGGCCCCCCTCTCCGACGTCCCCAGCCTTGAGGAGCTGTACATCTCCCACAACGCTCTCACCTCTCTCGCCGGCATCGAGCACAATGAGAAGCTGCGTGTCGTCGACATCTCCAACAACGCCGTCACCAGCGTCAAGGGTCTCGGCCCCCTCAAGAACTTGGAGGAGCTCTGGGCGAGCTACAACCAGATTGCCGACTTCAACGAGGTCGAGAAGGAGTTGCGCGACAAGGAGCACCTCACGACAGTTTATTTCGAGGGTAACCCGCTGCAGCTCAGGGGCCCCGCAGTCTACCGCAACAAAGTCCGTCTGGCTCTCCCTCAACTATCCCAGATCGACGCAAGTGAGTGCATCAACTCCCAGTGCTACAGCAGACAAACACGGTTACTAATCAATCTCACAGCTTACGTCAAGACATCATGACCTTGAAGCTCAGCACTCTGGCATGATACTTACGAGACTGGCATGGCGTTACAGGCGTTTGGTTAGAGCCTGGCGGCGGAGCAGCAATCAGTGGACAACATATATGGATTTTTTATTCTTCTTCTTTTTCTCTAGTACGAGATACCTCTCTGCCACACGCGTGGTCACGCTTGTCTGTAGAGCAAGGAGCGTGACGGGAAAGCTTTTGTTCAATGGACGGGCGGCTGTTCTGACTTTGCAAGGAAAACACACTGCATGTTTGTGGGAGGGGCTCAACAACCTGTCTCGGTCTTTGATCATGATACTTGGTTGTATTTTAGCGGCAGACAATGGTCTGGCCGAGAGAAGGGGGTATCTAGATACAACCGACATACGTCGCACGTTGTTCGGCACACGTCGCATATTGCTCCCTTGCACACCGCCCCTCTTATGGTTTACTACCCAAATAGGCCAACTCCAAATGGGAGCGCAATGCTGTTGCAGGTACGGTGAATGATGCGAAATGAAAACAACATGGCATGGGCGAACCATCTAACCAAAGATCCAAAGCTTCTCAGTGGGGAAGTACTGGTGGATGTGTTAGCTTCCAAATGCATTCAAAAAGAGAGGTAACGAGATGGAACTTACGTTGGCGGGCTGGTTGAAGCGGGTCTTCCTGTCCAGGGCGCTGATCTTGTCGATGTCCGCCTGCTCGAGGTCGAAGTCGGTGACGGCCAGGTTCTGGGCCAGGACGTTCTTGCGGCTGGTCTTGGGGATGACGGCAAGGCCGCGCTGGGTGGCCCAGCGGAGGAGGACCTGGGAGGGCTCCTTGCCGTGCTTCTTGGCGATCTCGGTGATTGTGGGCTCCTCGAAGAGAGGGACGAAGTCGGTGGCGTGCTCCATGTTGAACTCCTTGAAGGAGGCGGGGCCGAAGGAGGAGTAGGCAGTTACGGCGATGCCCTCGTTGGCGGCCAGCTTGATGAGGTCAGGCTGGACGAGGTAGGGGTGGTGCTCGATCTGGAGGGTGGCGGGGGGGGTCTTGGCGTAGCGGAGGAGGTCGTAGAGGAGCTGGCCCTGGAAGTTGGAGACGCCGATGCTCTTGGAGAGGCCCTTCTCGACGAGGCTCTCCATGGCGGTCCAGGTCTCCTGGATGGAGGCCTTGGAGGGGCGGACCTCGGACTTGCCGTCGTAGTGCCAGCCGGGGGGGTATCTGACCGAGGGGTCGACGTACTCGAGGGCGACGGGGAAGTGGATGAGGTAGAGGTCGAAGTAGTCGATGCCCCAGTCGGCGAGCTGCTTCTTGACGATGGGCTCCACGCGGTCGCCGTCGTGGAATGTGTTCCAGAGCTTGGAGACGAGGAAGAGCTCCTCGCGCTTCACAATGCCCTCTTTGATGGCGCGGGCGACGCCCTCGCCGCACTCGACTTCATTGCCGTAGTCTGGAGAAAAGATGCAACGTCAGTGTCGAGCCTGTGGAACAAACGCAAGTAGAGAAGCTTGCTTGTGCGGCGTGCGCAGCAGATGTCATTGTGTGGTATTAGGGAGATCGGGGGTGTGGCCCCCAGTGTAAGTGAGCGAGCGAGTGACCTGGGGAGATGGTGGGGGGAGGGTGTGTGAAGTCCGGTTGAATGGGTTGGGGGGGTGGGGTTTTGCGGAGAGCTTTCCGGGTGAAATTATAACGCATGGGGAAAATCGATGCCCTGCAGAAATTCGCACCCATCATCATCCATGGTGGGGTGAAGGAGGGGTAGTTCAGGTGTCCGTCCGATAGTTTTCGAAGGAAAGCAGACCGAAGGAACAACCACCAACTGTGGTGCAAACGACGCCAGGAAACCATGGTCCCAATGGGGTTTTCATGGTCGCATGACTGCCTGCTGCCATCGTCGCCGTAGTGGGGGTTTTACACCATGTCTCTTCCCTCGCACCTCGCAGGCTTCGCCAATGTGCACACTCTGGGTGGTTGCGGACTGCTCACTTACCGCATGCGCCGTCGAAGAGACGGTAGCCGGCCTTGATGGCCTCGTAGACGGTGTCGGCGGCGATGGCGTTGTCGACCTTCCACAAGCCGAAGCCCACTTGGGGCATGTCGAAGCCGCTGTTCAGCTTGATGTTGGGGACAGCCATGATGACACCTAATTTGCGGTTTCTCTGTAGGATATGGGGGATGTCTGGAAGAGAAGACAGAGGGAATAAGGAGAGGGAGAGGGAGGAAGGGAAGAGGCAAGTGGCGCTCGGAAACAAAACTACAGACGATGTAGGTATTTATAACCCTCATATCCTAGGCGTGTTTTGCTCCTGACGTTTCCCTCGCCCGGCGCGCCATTGGCCTCCACCTGTCCCCCTC